GTCTCCCCATTTTCAGAAAAGCAAACTAAATGTTACAGAGAAAAGTAAGTATGACAGAACAAGCAAGTACAATTCTGTACTCTGATACCTGCTTTTCTATCACTTTGTTCTTTGCATTAAACTATTTTTCTTCTAAAAAATACTACTAATTCTCCATTAACACAGTAAGATAGGAGAAGGAGAAAATATGTAAGTACGCTAATTTATGTATGCAAGACTAATGTAATGAACAGTACTGTGGCAAAACTAAAAGCATTTTATTAAAGTCTCTAGATAATGCTTATAAAGCTCATTATTCTTCCAGCAAATTAATATTCTATGTCTCACTAACAATATCAGCAAATGAACTGTTTTAGTTAAATTAATATTCATGTTAACTGCATGCAAAATCAACTAATTAAGTAGTTCTATAATATTAAGGACATATGTAAACAGAGTCTGTGATCAATTTTAAGACTAACCAAGTAAATTACATGGGATTCATCATGTGAACTTGGCTTGGTCTTCAGCAACCTGGTCTACTGGGAGGTGCCCCTGGTCAGGGGGTTTGGATCTAGTTGGTCTTCAAGGTCCCTCCCAGCCCAAACCATTCTCTAAGTCTATGTTTAGTCAGAAAATAATTCCAACAAAAAGCTTAACTAACCTGGTTACATTCTAAATATACGCAAAAACAGCAGTTTAGTAGGGCTGATCAATTTAAATTTACGAAAAGAAGTAGGTAATAAAGAGAATCTTTTCTTCTCTTTACTTGCCTACCCGTTGCCTACATAATGATCATTTAAGCAGAGCTTAGAATTCAACAACCAATTTTTCAAATTTTTTTTAAAGAAGTTTTCTCTTCCCCAATGAATAAATCTTTACAGACATGTTGAGATTGTTTCTTCTTCTTCACTTATGCAACATCATCAAATTTACATGAAAAAAATCCCTAATGGTTATAACAAGCTAAAGACCACAACATAATTTCTTTGGGCTCTGAAATAACAGTAGTATTTGTTTCTTAATAATCTCATTATTATAAATTTTTTCCTAAGACATCTATCATGACAGTACTGGGGCATCTTACAAAAGATATTATCCTGATTGTTAAATTAAATCATATTTAGGACCTAAATTAATAATAGGTGCATGAAAATATGTCAGGGGGAAAAAAAAAAAGAAAAAAAAAAAAGAAAGCCAGAAGCTTTTCTATTAGCAGCTCCTAGCAGAGCTGGAAAAACAGGCAGCACAAGTTGTCTAAGTGCATAATGTGCTGCACACTGCTCATCTCTTATTGTGAAAATGCAAATGAAACAACACAAATAAGAAAAATGAAGTTGCAAGTCACACTCCAAAGTCAATGCCAGGATTTAGATGGCCACCAGAAGCATTTTAGCTTGTCCAGAAGACAAACACCAAGAGTGGATGCTGAGGAAGACATGGAGGGAGGTAACCCCTTCTCATAGGAGCTTAGCCTCAAATTCTGCTTCAAAGTTTGGAGAGTGCTGGAATACACAGAACAGACACATCCCTGCCTTTACCAGCTGTCTCACAACCATCTCCCTGACCCTAGGCCAACTGCCACCGTTCTGGCTCTTCCTTAACCCTGACTGCTTATCCCAAACACTTCTAAATTCATCAGTCACAGGCTTTTAGTGCTTTCACATCTGCCATGCCCAGCCCAACCTCCTTTTCCAGGTCTTTCTTTCCACCTGGGTTCTAGATCTCACTTTCCCAATACACACTCCAGTTACATTTTTCCCTCTACCTCTCAGCTAATTTTCACTTTCAGAAAAGGATTTTTTCCCACCACTTTCTCATCTTCGTAGCTGTAAGATGCTTTCATTGTGGAGGGTATCAAAAGAACAGGGCGGGTACCTGTTACTGAATTTTCCAGTTCAGCTTAACTGGGCAGATTTTAATAACAGCAAGAGACGTCATCACAGCACGTGCACCTTAACACCACTAAGCATCACATTTCCTAGGAACAGCAGCAATAGAACTTTCCAGAAAAAAAAGGCTTACAAGAGCCTATTATAAGCAAAATAAAGTTTTGATCCTCTTTTGGTTTCAGAATTGTTTGAAACACTTCAGATCAAGCTTCTTTTGAAAGAAGATGGCTTCAAGTGTTAAATGCTTTGAGAAAAAACAAGCCATAATACCTTCTTTTTTCCACATTATAATAGGACAGGTCTAACAATACTGCTTTAGGAAAAAGTTGTGGACTACTTGAAATGCCTAATTTTCCTTAATTCTGTGATAGTAAGTACTTGGCAACGCTAAGAGTAGTCTGTCCTATTTATGGTTCTCAGTGTGCTCATCAGGACGGTCCTCCACTAAGGAATGCCCTGGAAATAACTACCCAATTTTCAAAGTGTCAACTGCAATGGAAAGATAGAACTGACTTTTAAATTTGCATTAAATTTCAGCTGTTGCTCCCACCCTACCCAGATGACACTGACCAATTCCAAAGCAAATGTGAGCCTGGGCTGCAGACGGACACTGGACTTTAAATACTGCCAAGTTACTCAGAGTTTTGCAGTGAGTTCACTGCAATACCACCCACTTCCCTACCCCCAAACCTACTGTAATAGTTCATCAGCAATGAATTCTAACAGAGGGGTCCTCACAGCTTCTCGGGGGGGGGGGCAGGGAGGTGGGGTAGGGGGGAAAACCACAGCAAAATAAAGACAGATTTGCCTCCAAGTAGGGATTTCAAGCACCAAACTGTATCTGCAAGAATCTCAGTAAGGAAAAAAAAAAAAGGCAACAAAATACATGTTGCCCAAAAAAAACCCACAAATTGCCCATGCTAAGTGAAATAAACCTTTACCAAGATGAAATTACACTTCACTTGATATCTGCAGTTATATCAGAAGCACCAATTTATTACCAGAGGATAATATGAAATACTGGAATAAAGAAAGTAATTTTATAGAGAATAGATCAGCTTGGGGTGGAGGAATAGTAAAACTGATTTTACCAGAATTGAATATGTTTTCTTATGGTATTATATCCCTGATTTCTTATTTGCAAGTGAGTTCCACAATCCAGAAGAACTTGAAGAATTTCAAGTTGCTGTACTTGAAATGGTCATAATCTGTATTCAAACTCAGCAAGTCATTTCTACTATTCCTTGTCCCTGCAACAAGTTTTAAAAAATTAACTGATCAGAGTTGCGTTGAAGATCTTGAATCATTCATGTCTGATAGGCAAGTATCGCAGTAGTTAAAATTATATTGTTTTAAATTATAACCTTGTTTTATATTTCTAGGTTTTACAGAGTTTTATGAAGTGTAAAATTGCATGCATTAACCTTCTGCCATGTCTACCAGACTTCTGGAAAAATATTCATGCTTGTGCAATCTATTTCTAGTAAAGGGAAAAAAAAAAACAATAAAGGAAAAAAAGCCCACAAAACAAAAAAACAAGCAAGAATGTCTACTTCCCAGTAGCCAAATAAACCTTATATAAATTAGTGAAAGCTTTATGTGGATAAATTTAAAAAAAATTAATCAGGAACATGCATCCCACCCACATTAACGAGCTGACTGAATACACAAGATGTAATACACAACAAAATACTGATTCAGTGAAATCAATGCAGAAGAGCTGTAGCCACATCTAATGGCTCTTGAATACATCAAATTTAGTATTTTCCAGTAACTGCTCATGGTCAGCTAAGTTTGTTGATGTGTATATTATTTAGTACAAACAGGCAAAACTCCTTCTAACAAATTAAGTGCCACTGTGACACAAGGGATCTTCTGGGTCACCCAGGGCAATCCCCTGCTGGCAGAGACCACACATCACTGAGTGCCTTCTGTAAGCCAAGTTCCATCGTAAAGAAACCGCTTTTTTTGTTAAGCCTCCCAGGGATAAACAGTGAAATAGGATTGCTTGAACTTTCTAGAGTCTTCCTCCAACTTCATGTTTAAGTTTGTGGACTGCTTATGTCCGTTAATTTCTGCTTCAACACTGGCTCGTACCTTGAATAGGTCCTTTTGGTCTCAGCATTGTCTCTCCCCTATTCAGCCCCCCACTATTCCAACCTACTTCTACATGGCCAGTCACTGTTCAAAAGCATCCACAGACACACTCCAGTTTCTTCTCAGGAAATAGCTTCTCCAGGCCCCACATCATCTCAAGCAGCCCTTTTCCTCAACTTCTGTCATTTTTATCTTGAAAAAGGGATAACTCAGGAATGAAAACAGTACTGCACACTAGGCTGTACCACGCTTCCTAAAACAGCATTATTATCCTCCTTATTGGAAATACAGCTCTTGATGAACCACACGCTATTTGCTATTGCTGTAGTTGCAGCACTGTCTCCTCCACATTCCACTGCAGCCAACAATCAGACCTCTGAAAATTAAACAACAAAGCATCAAAAGCAAAGGTCTGGAAGAGAAATTAACGTGAAAATTTTCTGAAGGTCTGTCACACCACATTGAAGGAAAACTGCAGTTCCTGCAGTAATACTGACTTTGCATCTGATATTCCAAGATTGAGACTGTGGAGCTTAAAAATTGCACGTGACAGTCTGCAAGAAAAAATGATCAGCTAACTGTTTATAAACAAACAAACCCTACATCAAAAGAAGTCAAAATTGGCTAAAACCCCTTAGTACCTATATATAGTTTATATGCCTTCAATGTAGGTTGTCTTTCTCTGGACACAGAGAGAAATGGAATACTATGCAAGTTTTAGACCTAAATTATTACCACCTAACAGAATTAAATAAATTAAAAAAACCCTATAATCATATTTTAATGCATAAATTCCTTATTGTCATTTTTAGTTGACAAATATCTATTTCACAGTAAAACAACATCATAGGAACAGCTGGATGGCAGTTTTAAGCTCAAATGAACCAGAGTCACATGCTGACAAGTCATCTCTCTGATTACTTTGGAATGGCAGCACATGCAGATTTATTCTATGCCATAAATTAGCACAATTATTTCTCTGTAGTTCACTTTTTATTTCAGTGAGCCATTGCACGTATTTTTAAAGGATATCTTCCCTTTCCTTGATGATAAGTTCATTCTGTTCCTCTAGCTGTCTGATCTTCTTCTCAAATGATTCCTGTTCAGCTTTCAGCCGTTCTTCTGTCACCTCTTTTTCTTCACTTACCCTGAAAAGAATTTGAGAAAAATAAAATATATGCCCATAACCATAGTGTCTGCCTTCCAATTCCTCACCACTTTGCAGCAGGTAAATGGATAACACCCTCTCCACCCTTAAGCAGGTTCGTTCCTCACAATGTTTATTTTATTATATTACAAGGGGGGATGCATACAATTTGGGGAAATACATCATTTTTTCAAAGACACCAATCTCAGTAGAGCACATGCACATTAATGGGCAGCATGGGAGAACAAAGTAAGGACCTGAACCCACAATCAGCTTTTGCAGCATGATTCCCTGCAGCCATAATGAAGACCCACTGGGATCCTTGCAAGCCCAGGGTATGAAGACAGAAAACTCAAATGGGAGAGCTTAACTGACGAGACGGGAAGGAAATTGGAAAACTTTTCTATTTCTCAATCTATAAACTAATCCTTCTTTCACATTTACTGGTCAAATATAAGTCCAGGGAAGAATAATTTTTCTTGTTAGCTTTCTCCAAACAAAACAGTTTGTCCTGTTCTGGGGATTTTAAAATATCCAGCTGCAGGAGTAAATTTTCCTTTCTGTCTGGGGCATGGCACCCTGTATCTTGCTGCTCAGTGTAAATAACTGGATCAAGATTAAAAGATGACAATGTGAGAAAGCTTTACAATGATCATTTATTCTGCACCTCAAGAGCAGGCTGTAAAAACAATTATTCTGGTATCACGTAGGCAAGAAGATCATTATGCACAGATCATCCTGTAACTATGCTAAAAAACATGGCTTAGAAATCATGGTTCTATAAAAGCTCCACAAAAATATTAAGTAATGAGCTTAGACTAATAAATATTACTGCTCTGCACTTAGGCAATTTCTGTTGCTGAAGGCTCTTAAAGTTCAGTCTTTTATGATGATGAAACAGCTGCCACAGCACAGGTGACAGGAGACCAAAGCAGTACAACTTTTTTAAAAAACTTCAACTTTATAACTTCCTTTAAGTGGAAAGGAAGAGGAAAGAGAAGGAAAAAAATATATGAAATGTACATATATATACACACATATATGTATTTCCCTGGACTAAGCCTTTCACTCATCCCATCACACTCACTGCCCTTCCTGACAGGGAGGTCCAGTGAAGGACTGAGACATCCATTTGATATCATGGTGCTTCCCTTAAGAGGACACAGATTTGTTTTGATCTTCCAATAGAAGTCATAAATACCACAATTGGGTCACTCCCCTGGGGTGAATTCTAGACAAGCAGTATTCCTCAACCCTAATATTAAGCCACAGCCCTTCCCATATCAGCTTCACAGGACTGCATGAAGTTGGAAATAGTAGTACTGAAACTCACACTTTTGCTCTACAAACCTAGAGGGAGATAAAAAAACAGAAAACATACAATCAAATTCTTTAAATTGGGTTGGTTACAAAGCTTGGATCAAACTATTAATTGAAAATTTTCTAAATTACAGGAAAAAAGTACATGGATTTAGTGTAAAAACATTCCACTATTCACATGCCCATGGTTTCATTTACAATGCTGGCCCTGGCCTGAGAAAGTGTGATGAGTTCAACTCATTCCTAAGCCCCTAGCCCTCCACTCACATGCTTGTGAGGGTTGTGCACACAGCATTAAAAAAAAACAGCAAAGGGAACCAGCTGTATTAACTCTGGATAAATACCAACACCTACCTGCTCCTTAGCTAAGCAGGTAACAAGCTTTTGAGAAACATCTGCCACACATCTTTGCTCCCTGATGCAGTAACAGCTACAGCACACATGCCACAGGCTGGAGACCCAGGCTTTAGCAACTAAACATGAGTTCTGGAGCCATCAGGTGACAAACACAATGAAGACAGCTATCACCATGTGGATGAAAGACAGGAAGAAAAGGAGCAGGGCAGGGAATTGGAAAGGAAAGAGAGGGCAAGTATCATCTCCAGGACACTCTGTAAGGAAGGAAGCTTGCTTAGTAACTGCAGGAGTGATGCTACATGAGAAAAAGGTTCGGGACAACTGAAACACTGCACCCAAGAATACTAAACTCAAACATAAGAAAATAAGGTGAGAAAGAACAGGGCACTAGAGAAATCAGACTAAACCTAGCAGGTTTTACTCATCTCTGGATTCTGTGATTTGCTGCTTGTATCAGTGTGCATCACATTCACGTGCTGTGTTTGTATTTAACACAGATCACAGCAAGCTGTCACACTCCCAGACACATGAATATATTGTGCCACATATCTTATGCAGTAAATGACCGAGAACAGTAAGTGATCTTTGAGGAAATGTGGCAGTACGTGTTTATGTATCACAAAGCAGGAGACAGCCCATAAAGGGCAGGCAAGATACAGAAGACAGTCACTCACAGGAGGTGGCAAAGGGAAGTTAGCAAAAAGGAATACAAGAAAGTCATCAGATTATGCTGGATTTATGTCACTTCCTATAAATAGCTCAGTGAGATTTTTTTATATACTTATTTCTTTGCCTTCTGGCAGTAAAGAACAGATGATTTTTAGCAGAAGGAGGAAGCACTCTACTGATGCCACACAAAAACATTGCAAGGCTCATATGCTCCTCAAAAGGATTTTCACCCACTATTCATCCCCTTGGGTCAGAAAAGAGCTGTGAAAGAATGAAGGCACCATAACTACAAAGGGCACAACTGCTCCAGTGGGCAACGTGCAGGTGTCCAACTCCACTGTTGTTGCATCCAGGATCAAACAGAGGACTGATGACAAAGATGACAGATCAGTAGAACTGATCCTCCCATTCAATGTCTGAAGCATTTTGTTGTGCACAATTCACACTGACCCACCTTGTGTCACAGGATATGCACCATCTTGTTTCAAGATTTGTTTTAAATTTGACAGCTTACATGAATTCAATATAATAAATTCATAGTAAAATTTAAAGCTTATATAATTCTGGATGCATTTAAATCAATATTTTAATTTCATGTTCCAGGAGCCTCTGTAGAAAAAGAAAAACTCATAACACAGATATATTGACAAAAAAACCTCCTAGGACATCAGCCTGAGAGTTAAAATTAATTCCTAGTTCACCAATTCCAATTACTGTGGTGTGCTACCAAGTCCACTGCTGATACCAATGTTTCTGTCTGATCTAAAGAAGGAATTGATCAACAAGTTTACTGATGACACTGACTCATTACACTGAGTAAGCAGGATTGATGCTCTCCAGGTGGAATTTATGAAGCACTGCACAAGTCAACAGCACTTCAAGTTTTATTTGTTTAATGAAAAACTGACATGCACAAGAAAGAGCCGTGATAATACTCACATCAACACTACACAAGGGACAGAACTCAAAAGAACTCTTCCTGAGTGAAGGCACTTACCTTTAAAAATGAAGACTTTAAAAAACGTTAAAAAAAAAAAAAAAAAAAAAGAGCTTTTACCAGGAGAAATATGACACGCATTAATAACTGTGGCTCATCAAATTAAGACAGAAGACAAAACAAACAAGAAGCAGAGATACACTGGAAATTCTCTGATCAGTCCTATACTCTTTGGGAACACTTAACTTTTAGGAAACACTAACCTGGTATTAGTCTGTCAACTAGCTAGCAAAAGATCAAAACATTTTGGTGACCATTCTTGAAAACTACAAGTTTCAAATTTCAGGTGAAGAGTGGCATCTGAAACAGGCAAGACCATCACAGGAGTCAAAAATCAAGCAAGGAGAAAGGTAAGGGCATCATGCAAAGTCCAGCACACATGGATATCATGGAATGAAATCAGCTTTCCCAACTGAAAGACGCACTCTAGAGAGGCAAAACCAGAACCTTCCATGCCAGAGTTGATTCTGCCTCTGGCAGAACTGAGCAATAAAAGTGACTTTTAACACAAGCACTCCAGGAAGAGAGAATGGCAGTATTTTTTGCCCAAGGACAATGTTAACAAATCTGATGCATTTTACTCAAGTATCACGGGCAGTTTGTATAAATTAAAAAAAAAATTAACAAAAAAAACCTACAGTCCCAAAACCTAATTGAAATTGCTGCACAATGGATAAATTTTATGATATGCATTCTTGTAAAATACAAAACTAGATCTCACAGCATGAATTTATAGCTACAAATGACTTTTTAAGCACAAAAGGTAAGTGTGATTGGTGATACAATAATCCTGGGTGTGCTTTTCCTATCAACACAAAGCAATTTGCCAGACAAGCTTAGGGATATCTCATTTGCAGTCTCACTGCCTGACCAATTAAGAGAACTGAAGCACAATATTGCTCCTAAAGTAGCATTAAAAAAAAAAAAAATATTTTGAAGTTAAAGCCAGGTAACAATTTGGTTAAATATGAAGTAGTGTAACCCAGGGGAGAAGGCAACCCAATAGGCCAAACACTGCAGATTTTAATACGGGTTTCCACAGGCAAGTTGTCCTTCAAAGGTCCTGGAAGAAAAACACTTAAAACAGCAGATATATGCTACAATAGTTTTACTGTCCTCCTTTGTAATGGTTTCCAGTTCTGCAACCAAATTAACCTTCTGTTTTGATTCCTCTTTTCACCTTTCGTTGGAAAATTTCAATTTTAGTTGGTCGATTTCACCTTCCTATCAGGATAAAAAGTCCAGATAAAAGCAATGTCAGTAGAAAAGACTGGCATCCCAGACTGCTAGCACCCTACAAAGGGTTTAGGAATCCAAGGTCTTGGGAAGGAGGACTCATCTTCTCAGTAAGGGTCAAATGCATGTCTGAAGGCTGTTTGGTAGCTGGCAATTACAGGTCATTCTGGGTATGCCAGTGATCTTAGCCGGAAAGACACTAATAGGATAGCAAAAACTGTCTTGTATCTCATTTGGAAAGGGCAATCACTCCCTCACAGGGGTGAATAAGGGCATTATGATTCCTTTCTACCTAAATTGCTTTGGAGGATTTGTTTGCAAAGACAACAGGGAGCCAGCTTTCTCCATGTTTATCTTGTCTGAAGAAAGAAAGAATACAAACTAGTTAGATACCAATTTTCACCACTAAAAACAAAAATTAAACTTTCATGAACCGTTCCTCGTCACTTAGTGGAGGCCTCTGCTCACTCTAAAGCAAGTTTCCTATGTGAGCTGTACAGGTTCCCTGAGCAGGCAGAGAAGAAGTACTTGTGATACCAGGAGCCCCAAAGTCACAGAACTATGGCTATGGGTATGGCCTGTATCAAAGAAAGCTGCAATCCTCTTCATTCAGCCAAACGCCATGACAGACAGAGAGGTCTCAAAATCTGCAAAACACTTGAAGTATTTCACTCTAGAACACTTCATAACCATTCTCAGTGTGGTGTCTAGCAATCCTTAACGTTCAGCACTCCACTGGCCACGTCCCAGCAGACCCTGCACTGCTCCTTCTCAGGGAGGCTGATGTGTCCTGACATGGGCACAGAGAACGAGGGCGAGGATCTTTCAGTGTCTTCACCACGTCACTGCTCATTTCATTACATAAGCTGATGACTGCTTCGGGAGTAGCCTGCTGTCGTAAAAGCTCATAGAAAGTCTTCCTTCCCTCTTTTTAAAGGACTTTGCTTATAGGTAGAGATAAAATTTGCTCTTACTGTGCCACTTTCACCACCATGCCAGCAGCACCTCATGAAGGTGCCATGCTGGTTGCTTCTGAAAGTAAAGTCTAATCACAGTCAAGAATCTCCCATTTACTCACAAAACACTTTGGCATTCATGGGCATGACTCATTCCACTCAGAAGCTCCTTTACAGAAACAGTTTGAAAAGAATTTGCTGACACAATAAATAAAAAAGTTCAAATTTGCAACATTCGAGTATTTTAAACTTTGGAAGCAGTTTGTCTCTCTCATTTCACCTTAAATGGGAAGACAGCCTGGATACATTCAAAGAAAGGCAAGGTAATTGTTAGATTTACAGGTGGCAGCACAGATCAAAAACTACGATTATTTAGCCTAGAAAGGAGGATTAGAAAGGATACAGTTGAGTCCTTTCCTTTGACCCTGACTCAAAATCCAATTTCACAAAGTCCCTAACAGCTAACATGATGTCAGACACTGGAATCCCCAGCAGCAGAGCATTGCAACCCAGTAACTGACTTTTTTTTTTTTTCCAAAGAAAGGATATATTAATGTATCTGGCATTAGAATTTACTCATACCAAGACAAAGTCTGACACTGCAGTGAATGCAGTGGCACACCCCCCCCCCAGTGTTGAAAAGTGCAATGGAAGTAAGAGCTGGAAGAAGAAAAGTAAAAATTGGGAAGAGAAAGAAAAGTACATGAGCTCTCCTTGAGCAGTCACAGAAGTCAGGAAAAGGCCACTACCCTGAACTGCTCAAGCAAGATCTGGTTGAAATTCAAGTCCCAAGAGTTCATCGTATTTTGCGACTGGTTTCCACACAGACAGAATTTTACCACTTTACAACAGCCTTCATGCAGCCACTTACTGACCAACCTATTTCTGCTCACCTTCCTGTGACAAACATGCATGAACTAGTCTCAACCACCATCTTTCTCATTCATAAATTGTAGCAAAATAAGGAACAGTGAGGGATAGCCCTGGTCAAGTGAGACCTTTATTATTCCAAGTATTTACTGCAGGTCAGTCTTCCTGGAAAACTTTCAGCTTTCTCCTGGTCCTTTTTCTTCTCTGAAATAGCAAAGAATTTTCTAACGCATGTAAGAGCACTCCATCATGGCACAACTAAGGATGAAAATTATGGAGAGGTTTAAAAAAGTGACGAGGTGAGCTGAATTAAAGTTCAACTTCCCTATTACTCTGCAAAGGACTTTTAATTACATCCAATAAAAATATGATTAGGTTTAAAAATAAAAGAGAACTAAGTATAAAATAATAGTGTTCCACTAATTTTACTTTTCAAAATTAATGTTGCTGCACCTTCTATTTTTCTTCAAAGAAATGTCAGGCAGAAATATCAAACTGTCCTAAGGGAAAAATCACAGCATCTGAGATTTAAGAAGAATCCCATGCTCAAATGAATTAGTGTACTACTATTCACTAGAGAGCACTGTATTATGAGGAACAATGTAATAAAAGGCTTTTTTTAATATTAGAATATACCTCTATATATCAACAGTGGCAACAGTGTCCAAATAGCTCCAACATCTGACAATTTGGAACCAGGCTTCCCAGCAATCTACTCTTTATGACAGTCTTAACTATACATTTTCTAGCACAATGTATGATAAAATAGAGCTGCAAGGATGAAGAACTTCAGAAATTACTGAAATACTGTATGGCAAGAAATCCTATATTAGTACAAATTATTAGCAGGTAAAATGGTCCACTGGATGAGGATAATCAGAGAGAAAATATTCCTGGCTGCATCAGAGAGTTATTGCATGACCTTGAGCAAGTAACTTAATTTCTCTGTCCAAATTTTCCTTTATAAAAAGAAAAGGAACAGTAATACTTGCCAATTACTGCACAGGCATATGAAATCTATGGCAAAAAGTATTTCATTAATATCAGAGAACCTGCAGTCTGTTAAAAAAAAAAAAATTGCCTTTAAAAATTCTACACATGGACAGTAACTTTTAGCCCAAAGGACCTGAGATCATCCCACGGTACTACTCCCACTGATGTTGTGCCAAAGACTGACAAAGCCCCACAGATGCCTCCACATTCTTACAGTCACTATGGAAGAACTGCATTTCCAGGGACAGAGAGTAGGACTAAAATGTCCTCACTCAAATTCAACCCATCTTTCACATCTTTTATCTCTGTGAATCTAACCAGCACTAGAACAAAACCAAAAAAAGCTTTTGCTAAAGCTGAGAAATTTGCACTAGTTGAGCCTCTCCTTTCAAAGAATAGGTAAAACCTGAAGAAATTAACCAAAGCAAAAGTTTGGCTAGGTAAGTAAAAGTTACACAGGCAAATATTGATCAACAGCCACAAGAGTTTCAGCCACAAGATCTGCCACAAGTTTCAGCCACAAGATCTGCAATCCACCTTTAACATGGCATCCCATATAAAAGCTTACCCCTGCCAAATACTAAGCACTATAGAGTTTCATAGCAACAAAGTCTGTTATTTCCAAAAGCAGCGTGTTTTTATTTCAAGCACGTACCACATGCAACAAAACAAAATCCTAACCCTGTGATCAGGTTTATATGGATGAACTACTGCTGGTCACTAAACTTTGGCTTTTGTTTTAAATATACATTTAGGGGTCACAAAGCAAGGAAAAACCAATCAGCCTGCTTCATTGTTCTTATATCTTGCAGCAAGAAAAATTACCTTATGCAAACATTCCATATCATAATGCGGTTTTGCATTGCTTGATGTTAATTAGAGGAATGACTCTTTTTAAACATAATGCATTTTCAGGTGATGCTTCTTCTTACCTGGCAAGTTCTTTAATTAAGTTTGCAATGCGTCTCTTGTCCTCAGGACACAAATCCTTTAAAGAAGCACTCTTCATTCCTCCTTCATTAGTGACCTGAAAATTTAAAGTAACATTTTAGAAAGTACCATTTAAAAGAAAACAAATATTTCATAAGACATTAAAAGCATTTCAAGACCTAATAATTACATGCTGAAAGTAGATCAATTCCAACTGGAAATAAAATTCATATTTTTTAAAAACGTACGTACATTTCAGCAAAACAAATCACCAAATTGTGAAGAATTATTTTAAGAGTCTTTTAATTCAAATGCAAGCTGCTGGCTTCAATACTAAACATGCTGGGTAAAGTTTTAAGACGTGTACTATTCACTGATTCATAGTAGATAAAGGGGAGTAGGTTCTCACGACTTGGAAATCCAGTGCAGTGATATCCAAATCCAAGTTCAAACTTTATTATCATAAAGAGAGTAAGAAAAAAAATATCCTGCCTTAGAGTTTATGACCAAAGCATACAAAACAGCAGAGTACTGTTAGTAGACAGTAAACCCTTGTTTCATTTTTCTAATACACAGGAAAGCACAGACCCCTTCACACATCGCTGCTGTTTGGTCTTAACGGCTTACTTGCTACCTCCGTAATTAATACCTGCCAAAACAAGCCTGTAACAGACCTCAGCACTTCAGGCCTTGAACGCGTTCCTTTAACACGCAGAGAGAATCGCTGTTCTTGCTACCAGTGCCCACCAGAGGGCCCGCACTGCTGCCCGCGTACCACTGAGGGCACCGCATTCCCTACCCCGGGATGCTCCCGAGCAGGAAAAGGTTCTAAATTGGTTTTATTTATCGAAAATTTCGGCGATCAGGGGACTCGGTTCTGCAGTGCTCGTGGTAGGCACGAAACAAGAATCGCAAGACAAACGCAGCAATAAGAGCTATGCTATTCTGACCAAGATTTTGGCAGGTTCAGTATCTCCACTCTATGTGAATTATTTCAGTTTTACAAACCTACAAATACGACAAACCTCCCCGGCTTAACTGGAGATACAAGAATGCTACCGAGTGCCCCGCAGTTTGGCCAAGTTAACACAACAGAGCACAAAAAGCATACAAAGCTAACAGTGGGCTTCTCCCCTCTTCAGCAGTAGCAGCAGCTGATCTACACACACCACAGAGGAAGAGACCCCTTTCATTCTCAGCTAATTGATTCTTAAACAGCAGCTTAAAGCAATTAAAGAACAATGTCCACTACTAAAAGAGGTGATACAAATGAAGAGACAATGTCTTTAACTTAACTGGATTCAACTAAAGTACCCTTGAAGGAATTTCACTTTCCATGCTAAAAATGTCTGAATTTTTCTTTTCAGCAGCCAGACAGTGGAACTTCTTTAAGAAAAACAAAAAGTTATAGGACAGTTTTCACTCAAAAAGAGAGACGGGAGCTTGATCACATTAGTGAAGGAGATTTTAACAGAAGGTACTATTAGTCACACCAATGTGCATACTGTCAGAAAAACATTTGTGGGAAGAAGAGGAAAATCAACTTTTTCTATCACCCACAGGTATGCACAGGTAGCACAATATAAATTCTCAGAAGCAGGCTTGTACCACAACACATGCCAAAAAGAAGCTGTGGCGTCATGCACAGCAACAGCTCGACCATCAAAACAAGATGACAAAGGAGGTAGAGGCCAAGACTGTATTGTCTCCTTTTCCCAGATTTCTGTCCTTTCTTCACAGCTCAGGGCAGAAGGCAGTTTTGTGACTCAGTATTTGTAAGATACTCTCCACACCTTGGAAGGTGACAATGTGCCTGACAAAATCACACAGAATCACAGGATGGTTAAGACTGGAAGGGACCACAGCAGCTCATCTACTCCAGCTTATTCCACATTGCTCAGGATTATGTCCAGGCCAGGCTGGATGGGGCTCTGAACAGCCTGGATTAGTGGAAGGTGTCCCTGTCCACAGCAGAAGGGGTTGCACTAGATGATCTTTACGGTCCCTTCCAACTCAAACTTATGATTCTATGTTAAAGTAAAGCCATCAGTTCTCCCTAGACACGCACACAACATCTGGCAGAAAATGAGTTGTGCTGGTGATGAAAACTCCATGCAAAAGGACTTTTTCTTCTATAACAAGTGAGACACATTTGTTCTGTTTGTTTCAAGTAATTCAGAGCTTATTTTCAGCGTACAAAGCTTCCATGAGGATTTGGCAAGGTAAGAGAAAAACAGAAGGTTAAAAGAGACATAAAAGAAACAGAGCTTTGAACGCATTTAATTGTCAATATCATAAAAGCACAAGTCACCAATTAAGATTTCATGTATCAGGCATTATATAAAAAAAAATACACAAAAACCCATTTACACTGCAATAGCTTTGAAAAAGAAAAAGGAGTAAAAACTCTCTAAACAGCAAGTAATGCAATCAACTCACCATTCAACAAAACAGATTTTAATGTGACATACTGAAGGCATCTATGAGGCAGCAGGCTTGTAGATACTTATGAAGAGATGATTCTACATAAAGACTCTGCATAATGGGGGCTATTTGTGGAATTTATCTGCATGTCACTTAACAGCATCATTTGCAAAGCAGAGGTACATGCTAGCCTCCTAAAAGCAAGTACTGATAAACAGAGAAACAAAAAAGGACAAGTCCAGGAAGGACCTAAAAATTAATACTAGTGTCATGCTGAAGGATTCAAAGGGCAATGAATCCTGTCAAAGCAACGAGAACTGAGTGATCTGTCTTTGCATCAGAGTTTTGAATGTACATGTGAGGCACAGCATTCACCCAGTTCACAGAAGACAGGGAAGGACATCTTAGCCCAGATGGAGAACAAGATCTAACTGCTTGATAATACAACAATGATGCAGAGCAGTCCAAGGTTTCAGATCCTGCCTGTAAGTGGAAGGAGGCCAAATTCTGGTGATTCAGATCAATACTAGGAAAGAGACTTAACAGTACTCAAATAACTTACACGGTCATTGCACTATATAAACCACATTAGAAAAATGGCCTCTCTCAACAAATTTCTGAATATCATAGTATCCATCACTACACTGAACAACCTTCCAAACAAAACTCCACTGCTTTGAAATTTCTAATGCAAGAAACTGTAGGAAATGTGTCACCTGTTCTCACAGGAGGAAACCACACAGTTCAAAGCAGAACCAAACACAACGTTCAATGGACAAGGCTACTTCTGCTACTCACATGATTTTTGAACTTTTACATCAAAAACAGAAAGTGATTTTACCCTACTAACATGAGCGGCCACAGTGAAAAGGTCCCTAAAAAGAGTTTTACAGGTCTTGTTTCTAAATGGTATGACTACAGCAATGAGAGAAGATTAAACACAACTTCTGGTATGTTTGCTCTGTAAAATACAGGTTAGGTGCTGTCCAAGACTACACTCACTGTCTCTGTACAAATACACAGATAGAAATATATATAATCTCTTTTACATAGTCCCAGTTACACACAGCTTATATAAATTAGCACATTCAGCCTTTGTTTTCTTTAGGTGATAAATTCTGTCAGCAAGCCACCATGTAAGTGAGCAAAAAGTATGAGAGATTGTAAAAATAAAAGTACTCTAACACTATGTAAGAGTTATACAAAATATGCCATTTTTCTACTAAGTCTTCAGAGGAATAAAAATTTGCCTTTACTGACCTGCTGCCCTGTCAGATCTCCTGCACTTCTGTCCAGATCCATGGAAACAGAAGCAACAGCTACAGGCACCTTGGGTTCAGTTTGACTTGTTTGATATTTTGGCAAACACCTTGTTTTTAAATTTTCTTTTGTAGACACTCCTGTAAATGAAAGACAAGCAGAACACACAGATTACAAAGTGAAAAGAGACCCTTCACTTGCCTTGTAGAACAGGACTTCCACAAAAGCATCTCTGCCTTAGCAGCTCTTTCTGAAAAGAATGAGCACATCGGGTATGTTTGCAGTTCCCCCTAGCCTCTCACTCCACACAAAATTTTATTACGATTAATGTATCAGCAGAAAAAGAGGTGCATGGCACTGAAGTGCATACAGCCACAAAGAGCAACAAAGTAAATTCTGAAAGGCACATCTCCTGATGGAGTTTTAATGCAAAAAAACCCTCTTTGTTTAAGATGCAAAAGCATAAAATTGAGCTTCTCCTTTGACACTCAAAGGCAAAAAGGAACCAAGCAGTATTGCTGCTAAAAGTACCAGTCATATGATAAAATACCACTTTTTTGTTATACAGCCAACATACTGACTGCCCAGGCTAATTGTTCCCTTCAGGACCAGGCATGTGAGTAAGGCAGCACTTCAATGTACCCTCCAAAGATCATCTGCAAAAAAACTTCCTGCCATAATTAGAAGTAGTTCACCACTACCAACGGTGAGAATATGAAAGCACTGAAAATCTTGATGCTCCAATTATAAAGTGCCCATGCTGATCCTAACACTGAAACTACCCACGGCCAGATTAAAGCCCATAGCTTCTTGGTACTGCCTCAAGGTTTGGGTTTTGACTGTTCAGAAGTGCAAAAAGGTTTTGAACAAAAAAATATTAATTTTATACTAGCAGAGAGATTACATTTATTTGGGTAATGAATTTCAGAAGTGTACTGGCAACCCCAGTGAAAGAACTAAATTATATGCTTTAACATCTCCATGCTCACACACAAAGGAAAACAATGTTCCTGTAATTCTCTGCCACAGAAGTGGAAGAGTACTTCCCAGAGTGAGTCGATTTACATCACTTAGGAACACTGCCTTCTTTCCAGGGCACAGAGTGTAACCATCTGACATCGCCTGGCTTGAACTATGCTAGTTACAAAACACACACAGTTTTTTAACAGAGCTATTTGGCCAGTAGTTTGGAAGGGTAACCATGCTACTCCAAACATAAGACAGCAGGATTCCTCAAGATTTATAACTGTTGGATGACATACGCACAATTTTACTAGAGTTAATCATGCCCAGATATGTTTTCAGGACCTGGTGTCGCTGTAAAAGCTGGGTTTGAAAACAATTACAGAATTCTGAAGGGGAACTAAGAACGCTCATCTTTTCCCCAGCGATGTATGCAAGCTTGCACTCAGTAAATCAAGGTCAAAAGAACTAATAAAAAAACAAAAAATTGCTTTTGCTTTACATAATGAATCTTCATTTCAAGTGATATCTTCAAAATTTACAAAAGACCCCAATACCTCTAATGCTTCAACGTTCTTTGGAGACCACATTAAAAATTCAGCTTACCTTATAAATTGGATCAAACTATGCTGTACCTGCAACAGAAACAGCTCCCCTGAAACTATTCATCTTATACAGTATGCTTATCTAAGCAGCAGAGCATAAATCCTCTGCTGTAATCCTGGATGTCCCATTACAACTTGTGATGACTCCCTACCTTACACACTTAAATACACAAACCACGTACCTGAAACAACATTGCAAATTTTATCAGGGAAAAAAAAACCACAAACTTTGTTTACATCTATTAGAAGGTCATACCTGTAACAGGTGCCATTGGCTCTTCTTCATCAGAAACTGGATGTGGCTTTGTTAAAGGTAATAAAAAAGGAGCAAATTTGGCTCTTCAAACAGAACTGTAGAAATTAATATTTGGGCTCTTAATTTTAAAAGACTTTTGAAAAGAAAACAAACTGGTAACAAACACTGGATGCAAGAAAAGCAAGGAAAACTTGATTAGAAAAAAAAAATCACCATCACAGAGATTGCTAAAACAAAAGCCATTACTCCTTCTTCACTGTGCATTAACTTTCAGCCTGTAAAGATTATCTTAGAAGTCACCTTCCAAAAGATCCCAGGGGCCAGCCCCACTTACAAGTGTAATTACTAAGATAATGAAGTAATAATATTTATTTAAATTTAAACAGGTTACTGTTATATAAGGAACCTCTTCATGTGTAGGAGAGACAAATTCTGAAAGAGTGTATATATTAATATTGCAATGAAATACATTTTCTACATTCTTATACATTGGATAGTCTAAGAAACATAAAGAAGCATAAATGCAAAAGGTTTCAAAGGAAGTTGGTCATTCTCATCAGATCTTCACATGATGAGTAACAGATGAAAAAAAAAAAAAAACCAAATAAAGCCTGAGGACTAATTTTCTTTAAGACGTTTTAAGAACTTTCAATCCCAGAGCTTTAACTATTAAATTACTTGACTGCAGAAAACACTTAGAAATCAGAAAGAACAGGGTACCATATTATTTGTACTATATCAGCAGTCAGTGAACTTGAATCCCTCGCCTCCCAGAAGCCACTAAAAATACGACTCAGTATAATTCAGGGAAGGGTGTAAACCATACTGCCTTCTTTAAAGCAGCAGTTTCATTGAGCTGAACATAATGATTGTTACTGCCTAGGTAAGTAACTAACACATTTGGTATGGTTTAACCCCAGCCAACAACTCAGTACCACACGGCTGCTCCCTCAGTCCCTGTCCCTTTCCCTGCCCCACAGAGGGGAGGAAAACCAGAGGTAAAAGGTAAAGCTTGTAGGTGGAGATAAGAAAAGTTTAACAACTGAAACAAAATAAACCAGAATAGGATGACAATACAAATAACACTATTTGTTATGTAAAGGAGAGAGGAATAAAGCCCAAAAGAAGCAAGGGATGCACGTTCCCCAGCAATGATCAGCCCCTCCCAGCCAACTCTCCCACTTCATGTGCTGGGCATGATGCTCCATGGTATGGAATATCCCTTTGGCCAGCTCAGGTCAGCTTTCCTGGCCACGCTCCCTCCCAGCTTCTTGTGCAGCTGGTCATTGGCAGAGCACTGAAGTCCATGTTTCAGGGACTTCACTGCTGAGCAACATCCAAAACATCGGTGCGTTCCCAGCATTATTCTTGTACTAAATACAAAACACAACACTGCACCAGGCACGAGGAAGAAAATTAACTGTATCCCAGATGAAACCAGGGCAATACTAAAGTGAAAAACAAAAGCAGAGGGCACAAAGTTCTGCCCCACTATCTTTTGTCTATACCCCTTTACGCTCCTCAACCTTCTGTGGCGGGGCAATTAACTCAATTACCTGATTTCTGTACTGTTCACAGATAAATGCAGATAAAGGCTTTCCAGTTGCCTTTGTACAATAAAGTCAAGTTATGAAAATATTTCAATTAACATATACAAGCTCTTGACTTTACAAAACTTGATTCTAATAGTACCATCTCAGATGGTACTTAATTCAGTAGATTACCACACGGTGGAGAAAACCAGGAACAGTGTAGGAGCTTCCCCCTGTGGACAGCAAATTCAATCAACACCCACTGTCCGTCACAGGACTGGTACTCGACACGCTGGAAGGGCTTGATCACACACTCCCTTATGATCTTGTTGATGCCCTTTATCACTCATAAACAATTACCAATTCATCAGTCTCGCACCAGTTTGAAAATACATTCACCGAGTACTGCTGTCAAAGCCACCTCTCTATACAAACACTGAGAGCACTTCTGTTCTCACCTAGGAGCTGCAGCCTGCGCTCTTCTAGCTGCCAGAACACACTGAGAGCTCACAGCACGAACCAGGTGAGGAAACTGAACAAACTCTGAAAGAAAGGCACTGTGTGTGCCCTCTTCTCAAAAAGCACCAAGGCAGATCAAAAGTCTGAGCCTGGACCACAGCCCAGCCTGAACAGCTGTGTCCACCAGGACAGCAAACCGTAAGGCACTGAGGAGCGTTTCCTCAGCTCACAGTACTACAGGAAACAACAAACTTCAGCACAGGCAATTGCTTACTCAACTGACATATGGCTAATCTGTGTGTAAACACACAGCTATAGGAAATAAAAAGATTTGCCTAAACAACATTATGCTTTTAGAGCTGGTATTGGCAGCTGTTGTGGATAGATGCCTCGTAGTAGGAAGCAATAATTAGTCAGAGCTGTTGCTGTTACCTCCCCCAGCTACCAGGACCACTCTCCTGTGAAGGTTTGCAGCCCAGTGCATTAGAATAACCCCAAGCTGGAGCAGGTTACCTCAATCAGTTGGACTGAAAATCGCAGTGACTCAGGAGTCAATTCATAAAAAGGTCCAACTTCCTTGCCTTGGCATAAGATTCTGGGGACAGTACCAGCGTCAACCTCTCAGCATTAATCCACTACCACGTGCCCCTCAAGGCTGACAAGGTAAGTTTACTACTACAAACCTTGTACCACCACAGCTAAAGTTCAGTGCAACAGCACAGAGAGGCACTGGAGAAACTACACACTGTGATACTGCAGGGCTCACCTACACAAGCAGCAGTGCATCTGCCTTGCTGTGCTGAACCCATTCAGCAGTTACGGACAGAAGTTCAGTTTTACAAACCTATTAAACCAACACTACCCAATGTAGCGAATTCCCCACCCTCTCCCCTTTTTTTTTTTGGAAAGCATCCACTGTTATTATTTTAAATTGTACCACGTGCATTTCTAAGCATTTAAACTTTTCCGGGATCAGAGGCAACACTACTTACTCACCAAAATGGAAAATGGAAATGACTGACAGGAAGAAATTCATTCCTTGGAATACCACAACACATGAGGGCGATGACGGGCTCAAGGAACCATATTTGGTGTGACAACCTGTCACACCAGTGGTTAATTGATAAAAACACACTGTCAGTGTAACTGCATCAAATGAGCAGAGTAGTGTGGCAACAAATCTGGTATTTGACCACCAACCTCCACACCATCACAGCACAGAGAAAGCAGGCAATCTATTTTACTTTACACAGATGGGAAATCATAACAGTGTGCTCCCCAAACAGTCCCTGGGATGGTTGGCCCATTTCACTTAAGTGGTGCTGTCCAGTGGGTGTGCAAACATAAATACAAGAGCCTGCACACGTAACTCTTCTTCCCAGTCTTCCAGCTGATGCTGAAATCCCACTCTCAGTATGAGTAATAGCAATGCCTCAAATCCCTCATACCTGGAGCTAAATGTTAAGCACCTAAATTTCCACCAGGCCGGGCTGTCACTTCCACCCCAGTGTCTTCACCTCGCTGAGCCTGTACCTCAGCCCCACAAGCCCAAATACCAGAGAGCTCCTGGCTCTCTGAACCACACAAGCGTATCTCTCTCTAGCCAGGCTCTTACAGGCTGCCTTCCCAGCACCACAACCACCACCCACTCCACCTACAAGTCCATCTCCACGTAGTCTCCCACAACAGGAGCCCACCAGTCCTTTGCAGATGAAGCCACCACAGCTTCACACTCGTCCCTCACAGACAGTGCCCTCCGTGTCCCACACAGGGTCACCCTAAATTTCATGCTTGTAATCAAGCTTAGCTGCCAGTCACAAAAGACACACCTGTTCCTTGCTCCCTGTTCAGCCTCAGTTTCAAAGAATCTCAGAATCCATTAGGTTGGAAAAGACCCGCGAGATCAGCAACTCCAACCTGTGAACAACCACCCACCGTGTCAACCAGACCAGAGCACTGAACACCACGTCCAGTCTTTCCTTAAACACCTCCAGGGACAGTGACTCCACCACCTCCCTGGGCAGCCCATTCCAATGTCTGATTACCCCCTTCTGTGAAGAAGTTCCTCCTCGTGTCCAACTAAACCTCTCCTGGCGCAGTTTAAGGCTGTGCCCTCTGGTCCCGTCACTTTTTACCCGGGAACAGTGCCCGACCCCGACCTGGTTCCACCCTCCTGCCAGGGGTAAGTTCACCCCTGAGCCTCCCCTTCTCCAGGCTAAACCACCCCATTCTCTCTATTAATTCTTTTACGAGCTCCCACGAGGTGAACGCAGTTTCCCCATTCCTGTATGTTTTACTTCCTCCAGGACTCCACAGCCGAGTCGCACAACCCTCCCTCCTCTCGCGGGCCACTTCTGCCTATCAATCCCGCGCACCCCCCGCACACAGCCACACGCGCAACCCCTCTCCCCAGGCCGAGCCCCCACAACACAACACTCCAGTGCCCCACAACACTCGGTGCCCCCACAACACTCGGTGCCCCCACAACACTCGGTGCCCCCACAACACTCGGTGCCCCCACAACACTCGGTGCCCCTACAACACTCGGTGCCCCCACACCTCCCGTGCCCCGGCCACAGAACACCGCTAGTCACACAGCCCCGCGCCGGCTCCACGACAAACCCTCCCCCAGGCTTCCCAGCGCACCCCCGAGGGCCCTCCCCGCCGCCGCGCCTCGCCCCGCGCCGCAGGAAAGGATACGGCCACAGCCGCGACTCCAGCGAGCACCCCCACCCTCACCGGCGGCCGCCGCCGCCATATTGAAACAGCCGCCACTCCCCGCGCAGCCCCGCCGCCCCCCCCGCCGCTCGCCGCCCATTGGCTGCCCGCGCCGGCGGCACGCGGGGGGGCGCGGAGCATGCTGGGAGTTGTAGTCCTCCAGTGGCCCAGACCGGCGGCCGCGCAGCCCGGTGGAACTACCGCTCCCAGCGCGCCTCGCGGCTACGGGGTGGCAGGAAGGATAAAAAGGCTTTGTTCGCTGCCGGGCTGGGCGGAGGCAGGAGGGTCCCGCGGAGGATGGAGGACAAACCCCCCACCGGCATCAAGCCCTACCTGGACAAGCTCACCCTGGGCGTCACAAGGATCCTGGGTGAGTGGCGGCGAGATACAGCCTCCCCGGGGCCGGGGGCAGGCCGGGGTGAGCCGGGGGCTGGGGGGGGTCACCCGATTGTCGCGGCCCCTCTTGTGAATCGCTCAGCTGAGCAGCCCCTGCACGCCCACACACACACAGAGATCCTTGTGGCTGCAATCAGCGGCGGGAATCCCGAATCTCTCGACCTAGGAGTTTCAAAAGCATCAAAGAAGGAGAAGGTGGTGTTTTATTCAAAAATCATGGAGTGTTAAGGAGTTGCAAGGCCACCTTGAAGATCACCCAGTCCCAACCCCCCCGGGCCGTGGGCAGCGACTCTTCCCACTAGACCAGGCTGTTCAAGGCCTTATCCAGCCTGGCCTTGAACACTAACGGAGCTGGGGCATCCACAGTCTTCTGGGCAACCTCTGCCACTGTCTCACCGTCCACACAGTAAAGAATTTTTTCAATAGCCAGCCTAAATCTCCCCTCTTTCAGTTTGTGCCTATTACTTCTTGCCCTGTCACTACAGTTCCTGGCAGACTCCCTCTCTGGCTCCCCTGTGGACCCCTTCAGGGACTGGAAAGCTGCTCCGAGGTCACCACACAACCTAAATGCATAAATTGTGCATAAAACCCGGTTGTTGTAAACCTGGCTGTGTTGCAGTGTGGGGCGAGCAGGGACTGTGCCCGATGGAGGGGGTTCAGTGTGGGGCAGTGCTCTTGCACAAGGCTGACCTGGGGATCTGCTCAGGATCAGCTCCCTGAAAATAATCACCCCATACCTCATTCCCACACCGTGGGACTTGTTCCACAACATGCCCTGCTTCCCATCTCCTGAGTTTTGCTCAGGTCTCAAGCCTTCTTTCATCCCCTCGGCTCTCTTTGAAGTTCAGCAGGACTGCAAGGCGTTCAGAGGAAGGCTCCTCAGACAAAACTTTACTCAGGGCAGTGGAATCACAAGGATTTGTGCAAATGTTTGCCTTTGTGAAGGATTTCAGCATTAGACCTTTCATCCCTCAGAAACTTGGGCACAGGACTGTCCTATTTCTATCCCAAGCCCTGTGTGCGACAAGATTACAAATTGCAGTCCAAAGGCTTCTCCCTGTGAGTTTTAAAGCCAGACGAGAGCACTGTGATCGTCTCACCCAGCCACTGTGTTGCAGGACAGTGAGTTTCATTTGGTAACCCCAGTGTATCTCTGGTTGCACGTGGGTTTAGATAGCTGCTCAGACAGATGAGATTAAAAGATCAGGGCTTAATACTTGCTCTGGGCTTCAGCGAGGACAGTATTTCATCCTCAGTCTCTGATCAGCATTCTCACACAGATGTATTATTGAATTTGCGGGGGAGGGGAGGGGGGTTGGAATTTGTTTGGTTGTTTTGTTAGTTTGTTTTGTTTGTTCTCCAGTTGTGAGGTCAGGATAACATTGTCATTCTGCTCCGTGAGTGAAACTGCTGGTGGTCATCCATCATGGCAAATGCTTCTTTGAAGTAGCTCTTTTTAAAAAAAATTACTGGCCCAGCCCACATTTTTGCAACCCTCAGATGTGTGAGATCTGTGAGATGTTAACTATGTCCAAAAGTAATGTTGCCATATAAACTGTTTTGGGTAGGTGTGTTATCTACACCAACAAGACATGGCAATGCAGGTTTGGCTCCTGAAAGTCCTGTAACATCCCTTTGGCATGGAGGATGTTTCCCGGTTTGTGTTTTTTTGTTTTTCTGTCTGTCTCTCTGAAAACTTCTACTGTGCAATACAGCAGTGTGCATCCCAGTCCATCACAGTGATGTTTTACTCTGCTTCTTTTCTCTCTCTCCACTTCTGGGAATTTTTCACATTTTTTTCCAGTGAAGTAGTCCAAAGTATGTCAGCTGTGCCACCAAATTAATTAGAATTGCTGAGCTAATTGGGAAACATTACTAATCTGTTCAGTGTTCAAATAACAAAGAGTATCTCATTCAGAAAGATGCCTTGCTCAGTAGTTAGTAGCATTAAAAACTATCTTACTTTTAAATCTTTTGGAAAGTCTCATGAAGCCAGGAGATCCTGCCTACTGTAACATAAAATCAGTCATAGCCTTTTAACTCTGTGGGGTTTGTGAAACTTTTTTTTTTTTTTTCAGGAGATAGAAATAGTCATGTAATGAAACTCAACATACTCCTTTTAAGCTCGGTGTATACAGGAGCTGTACACCTGATTTTCCAGTACCTTTATGAACAATTGTTTATGACACCATTTCAAAAACCCTTCTTTGACCACGTTCTATAGATTAGGTTGGGGGGGTGGGCATTGCTTTGCTGTTTGGTTTTGGGGTTTGTTTGTTTGGTTTTTTTTAACTTGTAGTCTCTGCGGAAGTCCCTCCAAGGGGAGATATTTCTTACAAGCCTTATGGAGGCTATAACTTGAGGGGAAAAAAGAGGGAGATCTTTCCCATTGCCTGTATGATTCATTTAGCTGAAGTTCTATGAGCAGTATCAAATTCCATAAAGGTTGATAGTTCACAGCTTAATCAGAATGGGAGGTGTTAGCTATTCTGAACTTCCCAGAGCAGGACCATACTTCACTACTGAGAGTGTTTACTGGATGAGAACATAACTATTCAGACGTTTTTAAATGATGCTGAGAGTTTATCCAACTTACAGGCAGTATTAGCAGTACTGTAAAGACTGCTAATCTTGTGATTTCTTGACTGAAAATCCTATGATTTCCTTCTTCAGCTTTCTGTCACTCCGTTGCATTGACTCTTTCTGATTAATACTGCAAAGCATTTTTGGAAGATTCCAGATGACATGTCCTAAAAATAGGATAGAGTTTACTGTGATCTTGGTTCAGAGTAATGAGTAGGGTGGAGTCACCTGAAGTGGTTAAGCCTTATCTTTTCTCTAATCTAGGTGGCTTCTTCATTTCTTCCTTCTGGAAGAAAAAGCAACTCATGGCAAAGTCAGTTGTTAATGTTTAAAGGAGCTCCTGTCCATACCTGCTTACAGCTGGTAAATGTGGTCTTCAGATTACCCACAGGATATTTTTAATGTAACATTCAGGCTTTTAAGATGGAATTTCTCTTTCTTTTGATGTTGGATTTGATTCAGACCTCTTTAGAAGTAGCATTTCTCTCTTTCCTAGACATGATCTGTGACTGATATGATATTTAATCTTCTGTCATCCCAGCCACGCTGTTGTGCATGATGAATTAAACATCCCTGATGCTTTCTTTGATCACAGAAATAACAATTGCTCTGTTATTATAATCTCTTTAACTTGTCATAAGGCTTGCATAGCTTAGGTGGAAAGGACTGGTTAGGTCATTGATTCCACACACTCCTTTAGAAGCAGAATACATCTGGGGAGCTTGTGTTTCAGCAGGAGACAGATCACCCCACCTTGCACTCAGCTACTAGAAGTTAAATATCAGAGTGTTCTGTATGTTGGGGCTCACCCTTGGTCAGACAAATCACCTAGGTGACCTACTATGATTTTACTATTTTTTTGGTTGTTGGTTTTTTTTTCCTGTCTTTAACCTGAGTCTTGTTTTTCTGGTGCCATGTGTTGTCCTCTAAATTATCTGATGATGTTACCAGTCAATATTTCCAACTGAAGTGGAGTTTAGACTTCCTGAAATTGAGTGCCACTCGTCCACCAACAGAACAGACAAGGGCAAGGCTACTGCTGGAATTAGAGGCCCGGCACTGAAGATAAAAAACCCACCAAAGCTCTCTAGTGCCTGCCTTTCCTGTCTAGTGCACTGTGTATGTTTTACCAGAAAACAATTATAATGTGTGTGACTGCTTTGGGAGCCAGTACTTTCACAGCAGAGCCAGTTCCTGAAAGCCCTGCATAGTGTTCATTTGTATTCTCTGGCCCCATGTGCTGGGCTTGCAGTTCCCACAAGTTAGTAGTCTTTCTGGACCTAATCCAAAGTGAATTAACTCAGTGGGAATTGTTTCAGTTGGCTGTGGGTGAAGTAAAACATTATAAAACAGTAAGGGCAAGAGAGAATGTTCTGCCATCACACACCTGCAGGGGTAGCACTGTGTAGATTAGCATCTTGCATTTCTATAGTGTTCTTTCCCATAAAATACTCAGATAATTTTTATAAGTTACAAGCTCAGTGCTCATAACAGCTTTGCATGTGTCCAGCTGGGATTCCAAAGGGCTGAGGTTTGCTCACACAGCTCCCTTCACAATCAGATTCTGCGTCTGTCCAAACCCACTGGATCCAGCATTTAAATGGACCTGTGTTTTTGGAATATGGTTGTTAGCAGTTCACAGCAGCATTGCATAATATATTGAGGATATCCCACCCAATAGAAACCACAGGGAATGCTTGCAAAGAGGGATTCCTCTTTCAGAGTTTGCCTGGGTTTGTGTTTTTCTTTTTCATGAGTTCTCTGCAAAAGTCACACCTTGAATACAAAATGTATGTGTTTATGTCATAGAATCACGGAATAGTTTGGATTGGAAGGGTCCTTAAGGGTCATCTAGTTCCAACCCTGCTGCCATGGGTAGGGATGCCACTCACTAGACCAGTGTGCGTCTAGGCCCATCAGATATATCATTATATATATGCATATATATTTATAAAAAATTTCAAAGAATTACATTTTGTGCAGCTTTAGATATCCTCATACCAAGACCTTCTGAGTACAGTTACAGACAAAAAAAAAAGCGACTGCTCGGTCACCAGCATGGTGCTTACAGTCATTAATGCCTTTTCCCTGGCTGTCACTCAAATTAACTTGCAAGATTGTCTGGCTCACAGTGTTGGTGTCACCTGTGCCAGCTGCAAACATGCTCCTCTTTTCCTTTTAGAGACTTCTCCAGGAGTTGCTGAGGTGACATTTGTGGAGAAGGAGCCAGCTGAACGCCACACCATCATTTCTTGGGAGCAAGTGAGTATTTTTGTGATAAAACTGCAGTGAGGTCAGTCCACACATGGCAGCAGCCCACAGAGAATCCCAAATGCAATGGCTACCTTGTGTTTGGTCACGAGAGAGCTTGTTACCAAGTTTGATGCACAGAGGAGCCTAAACAGTTGTTGGGTTTTTCTTAATCCAATTTCAGTCTGTCTTTTAGGCTGTCACATGCACCTGAACTGTTAGAGAATCATCAGTGTGGGTACATTCAGAATGACAGCTTGAAAAAGAAATCACATAACTGTAGTAGGCAGCAACAGTGGTGACTCAGTGGGGAACAAATATTTTTCTGACTCAGGTCTGAAAACATTTTCCTACTCCCTTTCAAACAAAATGAAGCAACTCTTTATTATTCATTAAAGGACATTAAAGGTAAAGGCCTCAAGCTTGCAAATACCACAGTTTCTTCCCGTTGTGTGTTTCTCTTTTTAGTGTCAGCCATTCACTTCAGTTTCTCACAGTCCCTCCTCCTACCTCCTCTTTGGCTAACCAACCCAGTCTTTTGGCCAAGGCACGTCCCACTGCCTGTTCTAGAAAGCTGTGAGGGGCACTCTGCATTATCTGACCTCACTGCATCACTCTGTGTGTGATCAGAGGGTTCTGAAAACTGTTGTGTGACTCTCCTGGGCAGAGATGGCATTTTTGCTCCCCTTTTTGAATATCCATGTGTATATCCAAACCTCAATCCCATGGCCCTGGTGGAATAACTGCTTTGTAGGTGTCACTCACATGTAGGAAAGGGACAGCAGAGGCTGGCTGGCCTTTGGAAAGCAGCATGGCAGAGGATGGAGTTGAGTGAATCATCCTCCCTCTGCTCCAACCCCAGGAGAATCTGCTCTGATTACCACTGCTCTTGTTACCAGTGCATGAAACAACTTTCCCTTGGATACCTTGCCATTTACAGGGTTTTCCTAAACAGTAAGGAAAGGTCTGGTCCTAGTTTTGGTAACGGCCTATCCCAGTTAGTGACATTTATCAAGAATTTATATGCCCACGTCAGAATATGTGTGATGTAAACGTGTGTTACTCACTGAAATTTGTCCAGTAGCCAGCAACTGTGGTCAGGGAGAAATGTCCGGTTTTTCAGGTTTGTGTAAACTGATTGCTGTTCCTGTACCTGTTGTTCAGGTATTGGATTAACTGGGCTAGGAAGGTCTGAGGCACCATGACTGAGCCAGCTCAGGTCTGGGAGCAGCAGAGTGACATTTGCTCACTCTCCTGCTGAGTGCAGAGGATGCTTCTCCCAGACACAGTATTGCTCTCATTTTCAGGCGCTTCTTCTCCTCCAAACTAAAATGGATTTCTTTCAAAACTGAGCTGTTCTTGTAAAACCAGACTTTGAAATGCTGTAGCCAAAGCACTTCATTCCTGAGATGTCAAAACAAAATTTCAGTTCCCACCCCCCCACACCCACTGATAGACTAAGTCAATTGTGAAAGTAAATATTGAAAATTAAGAGGATATCGTTGAGCGGGACTGCTAGTAGTGAGGAGTTGGCTGCCTGTTTCTTTGTAGTTGGTTCCAGTTGCACTGACAAATAAAATTCTACTTCTCAAATTAAAAAGTAAATTTTTTTTACTTTTTTTTTCCTTGACCTTTGGGGATGAAGTCTGATATCTACCCCAGTCCACACAATTGCAGGACAAAAAGTCTTTCAGTGATGATTAAGTGCAATGCACTCAACACTTCACAAGGCCCTTCCAGGATAAACTTGTACTTAACTTTTCCTCAAACTTACCCTTCTTGAGTTTGAATACAGTGTTTACTTTTATCACTGTGGAGTTTTTTTGAGCCACTAGGTGGCAATACTTATGCACATAATAATTTCTCCATAGTTGAGGTTTTTTATGAGGTCTTGTTAGAATATGTATTTTTAACTTCCCTCTATGTTATGAAAGTATTTGCAGGATTTTTTTCTGTGATATAGGGAAAACTGGTCAAACTGTTCCCAGGCAGAAAGAGCTGTTAAGTCTTACACTTCAGGAAATCAATCCTGAAATCAATCCTGAATAATGTATTGGAAGTCAACACACTCACAAAAATACTTAAGGTTTGTGATTGTAAAGTATTTACATAGGTTGCATCGCTTCCCCAAAACTTTTAAGAGGTTCAGTATATTTTAAAAGCAGATATTTTTTCAGCCTTTCCTGATATTTAGACCCATCAAGATGTTACCTTTTCCCCAAGAAAGGGAGACAAGCAATAGAAAAGGCAGTAGAGATGGAGTTACTGGGTCAACAGAACTCCAATGGTAATAACTCCAGTGTATGTCATCCTATGAACCATTTCCCACTCCTAAAATTAGGCTGGCAATGCTCTGCTTTCCTCTACATGCAGTTTTTAAAAGTAGGTATTATACTAAAATATTGCTAGGAGGCACTCTGGTGCAGTGTCTGAATCACATTTTCTTTTGTGCCTCAACCAGGATTAAAATGAGTCACCCACAGAATTGCTTTGGTTTTCAAAGGGGGACATGGAGGTAGCAGAGCTCAGCACCACAGCAGACCAAACAAATTGAACGGAGTAGTTTTGGCTTTTCCTCTGTTTGACATCTCAGCAGTGTCTGAGCTGCCCCTGGCTGGCTGTAATCAAACCCTACCCATCACGTTGCTGTAGTTTTGATATTCTACAAGTTTGCATAGGAAATTTGTTGTGTCTCCTTGTGCATTTTGTCTACAAAAATTTAATTTTCTGTAATAATGCCATAAGAAACCCTCAAGCAGTCTGGTGCTTTACTGTTATAGACTGTCTTAGGCTGCCAGACAATTTAGAAACTCTCTCTCTGTGTAAATCTCAGTGGGAACTGCCTTGGTGGTTTCTGGCTATCCTAGAATTCATAGAATCATTAAAGTTGGAAAAGACCTCCAAGATCATTAAGTCCAACCATTAATGTAGTATCATCGTGTTCACAACTGAACCATATCCCCAGGTGCCACATCTACACACCACTTCCAGGGATGGTGATTTCATGTTTCCTGACCAGCCTTTTCCAATGACTGACCAGCCTTTCCTGGCACAGCCTGAGGCCATTTACTCTTCTCACTTGTTATCTGGGAGAAGACCCCGACCCCCACCTGGTTTTCAGGTACTTTCAGTACCTTTCAGGGAGTTGTAGAGAGGGGTAAGGCCTCCCCTCAGCTTTATTTTCTCCAGGCTAAACACACCTGGCTCCCTCAGCCACTCCTCATCAGACTCCTCCAGACCTTCCCCAGCTCTGTTCCTTCTCTGGACACAGTCCAGCACCTCACTGTCTTTCTTGTCGTGAGGGGCCAAAACGGAACACAAGAGTCAAGGTGGGGGCTCACCAGTGCCCTGTACAGAGGGACAGTCACTGCCCTGGTCCTGCTGCCCACACTATTGCTGACACAGGCCACCTGGGCTCACTCTGGCTCATGTTCAGCCACTGTTGACCAGCACTCCCCAGGTCCTTTCCCACCGAACAGCTTTCCAGCCCCTCTGTCCCCAGCCTGGGGCACTGCAGGGGGTGACCTCACACAGTTGGCTCAGTCCATCAATCCAGCCTGTCCAGATCCCTCTGCAGAATCTTCCTACCCTCCAGCAGATCAAAACTCTTGCCCAACTTGGTGTTGTCCTCAAATCAACTGAGGGTGCTCTTGATCCCCTTGTCCAGATCATCAGTGAAGGCATTAAACAGGGATGGACCCAGCAGTGAGCCCTGGGAAACACCACCAGTCACTGGCCCCAGCTGGATATATCCATGCACCAACACTCTCTGGGCCTGGTGTCAGCTAGTTTTTTAGCCAGGGAACAGAGCATCCATCCAAGCCAGGAGCAACCAGTTTCTCCAGGAGAATTCTGTGCGAAACAGTGTCAAAGGCTTTACTGAAGTCCAGAAAGTCAACATGCACAGCCTTTCCCTCATGTACTAAGCAGGTCACCTTGTCATAGAAGGAGATCAGGTCGGTCAAGCAGGACTTGCCTTTCCTAAATCCCTGCTGGCTGGGCCTGATCCCCTGGTTCTCTTGTAAGTGCCATGTGATGGCACGCAGGATGATCTGCTCCATGACCTGCCCCAGCACTGAGGTCAGACTGACAGACCTGTAGTTCCCTGGATCCTCATTTGAACCCTTCTTCCACATAATCCAGGAACCTCCTAGGCTGCTCCCTCTCTACTGTGTTGCTTTTCCAGCAGACATCTGGAAAGTCACCCTCACTGCCTCTACCATACGTAGTATCTCTTTTTGACTCAAAAGTATGCATGCAGTCCTGTGCATCTCCAAGGGTCCTTCGTGGCATCCTTCTTGTAATGTCCTCCCTTAGCATTAGGCAAGCCTGTCATCCTTTATGCCCTGGAGCACAGGATCTACCATCTTGAGCCTGTCTTGTGGCCCTGACTGTAGGAGAGACAGGGAAGTGGATAAAGCAGCATCCAGGATGAGGAAAGCTTTGTTTCTTCAAGCTGCATAATGGGGAAGAGGTTGGAGGACTTCTGGGACGTAAATAGTGCTTCTTACACAATGTTTCGCCTCATGTTGGGCTTATAATATTCTAATTAGAAACCTGGCTACACAACAACATCCTCCAGAGAACTGTTAAATCCTCTTCTCTGCAGCAGGGAATCAGGCGTACCCCAGCCCCAGAAAATTAAAGCAACATGATCTCCTGGGAGCCCCCTAGGTCAGATTTATAAAAGGTGCAACAAGAATGTCTCAGTATGTTACATAAATTAACATTTGCATTTATTAGTAGCTAAGCCCAGTCATGAAACTGCAACATGTCACAAAGAGAGAAGGGTGGCTGCTGAGGTGCTCTTCTGCTTGCAAGCCCTGAGAAGGGACATAAATGCCTTCCTTCTCTCCCCATAAGTTGGGTAAAAAGTGACATAAATGTTTCTCACCCCAAAAGTTGGATAAAAATCACTCATTTTTTTTTAGAAAAGTCTCTCCAGAGCTCTATGTTTTGATTGCTTTTCATTTCTTTAGTATATTTGCTTGAGGGGTATTGTTTCAACAGTGCTTTAAGGGAATTGCCATATGTCAAGGTTTTAGCTTTGGATCCAGTGCTGTTCAGGTCTTGGAAGCAAAACAAGACTGATTCTAATATTTTTCTCTGTCCTCAATGGACTGTGCAACTTGGAGGTATTATAGAGAACAAAAAAAAGGAATAGGCCTCACACACCATACTGGGCACTTGGGATATTTTGTTTTATGATCTGATGAGTGTAACCAAATGACTGGAGTAAAAACAGCTCCTTGCCAGGGCTGTGGTTAAGCCACTTCTGGCATGTTATTGGGAATAGTGTATTTTATAGGGCTGGAGAACACAACCCTTAAAACTACCCATTGAGCAGGAGGAATACAGAATTAGATAAGCCACTTTTAATGTCTAATGGCTTGTTTGTCTGACTCTGCTATCAAATCATTGCTGTTCTGATGTCATATGGTCATGTGACTAGGTATAATATGACAGAACGATCAGTCCTTTCTATCACATGAGAGAGATGGGTATTAGTAAAGCTTTTTATTTACTGGTATTTTCCTGTAGACCCTATATCTGCTCTGTTACAGCATTTTTCACCCATGTATTTTGCACCATCATTTGGAAACTCGTGCAAAGGGGGGAATCCTGAAATAAATTGGGAGGGCAGCCACCTGGAGAAACATGCACATGTTGATCTTTCCATTCAGATAAAGAGGATTCAGAGTAGAAGGCCTGTTCAGATGAGATTTTTACCTTGCCTTAATCAGCTACGTTTGCTAAATTGGTCTGTTCCTGAGTCGTAGAGTATTTGTCTGGATACTACAGTGGAAATTTTAAAATCTTAGATTTTGTTACTGCAGTGGTTCTGGTTCTCCTGCTTGGGCAACAACACCCACTGAAGTCAGATGGGCTGTTTGCATATGTGTTTTTACTGCTGGGATAAATTAATTAAAATTGGGAGGTTTGAAATGGATTGAAAGTGCCATGTAAACTTTTGTACTCTTCTGAGGCCTTTTAGCAGGTCTGTCTCTTGTGTTTCTTCATAGTTTTAGCCCTAGTCACTGTGCTTACAGCTACAGCTTGAAATTGGAAGTGATGAAAGCACAGCATGAGATTATAAATATTTAGGACTGAGGAGAACCCACAGAAGAAGGTGTGTTTGTGAAAGGCATTTGAAGAACTTCAGATATGTCCATGTGGTTTAGTAATCTCCTTAAACTTACCACCAGGGCCTCAGCCATCAGCAGGCTCTTATCAAAGGATGATAAATTCTTCTCAAAGCAAAGTTTCTACAGTGTCAGCTTGTCTGCTTTATTACTTGTAGACCCTGAAGGTTTTCCCTACCTGGGTTATGAAAGCACTGTGCTAGTGACCAGGCTGCTTGATGAAGCAGGTAAAGTGACCTGTCCTATTTCAAGCTACAAAACCATTAGCATCTGGGACTCATCAGTAATAGTCACCCAACATAAATGGATAAGCTTAGAAAGTAAGTTAACAGGCTGGAGTGAAGGTTGTGGGCAGGTTAGGGGGTCCTGCACGGTGTCTGCACTCCACTTTAGGGGACAGAGTCTGTAACAACCCAAAGAAAGTGGCTGTGAATAAGGCTTTAACAGGCAGAAAGGCTGCCCTCATCCCAGGCGAGGGAGGGGAAGCAAACAGGAGGAGACCAGCACCTTAACCTTCCCTTGCTCATGCCAGCCACTGTTGACCAGAGGCCAGCATTGCAGCTGGATGCACAGCTGGCAGGTAGCTCCTCCTGGAGAGATGCTTTGAGGCAACATCAGGAAAGATAACTGGATATGTACAAGTTGCAGATGTGGGGGAGAATCCGATCAGTTTCTCTCTTTACCAAGTAAAGCAGAGCTACATGAACTACATGTGCATCTTTCTTTTCTTTAGCTACTGGTTACCAGAATATTCTGTCTTCTTTTAATGTGACTTTTCCACAAGGAGAATAATGCAGAACTTCCCCTTGGACAAGTCAATGCAGAGGTTGTGGAACTGCATCATGGGAGACTATTCTGAGTTTTGGGCTCTGATTCTTTTGGAGTCTTGTGTGCAACAATATTTTTAATGTGAACTCTCTTGAATCTTTCTCAATTTGTTTTTTCTCTAGAACAGTTACAGACAAAACAACAGTTAACGCTTTTAGTCGTACGTGTTACTTGTCTTCTTAAAACTGGCAGGCTTCTGTCCTCTTTCATTTTGTGTTCTTGACACTTCAACAGGAACAGAGGGTCACTGGTCTACAGCCAGTCCTGTCACCAGGAACAGGGTCTGCAATCACCTGTAGCTCTTTGGGATTCTTTTTGTTCCATGGATTAAGCCTTTGTCCTTCCTTCCTCATATTTGCTGCTTAACTGAAGGGTCTAAGTTAAGAAAGACTCCTTCCATAACCAAGACATGCACAGGAGGTGGGTTGTGGTTCCTAGGAGCTCCAGCTCACTGGAGTTGCTTCTTTCGTTGTTGACTCAGAAGGAAGCAGGCTTAGGAGCCCCAGCCAAGTGCTGAAGTTTGCAGGGGTGAAGCCAGACCAGCAGGTTTGTGAGTCTGGCTCTGCATGTGTTTGCACACATACTTCTTGTTGAGTGACATGTAGAATCCGTTTGATATGTGCAACTTTTGAGTCTACACTTCTCTCACCAACTTGGAACTGAAATCCCTCAGGAGAGTCCTTGTGCTAATACTGTGTGTTCTTTAGTGGAACAGGTAAGTTTAGTCTGATTTCACTCAAAGCAAGGCCCTACTATTTTAAGCCATATATATGAAAAAGCCAATTGTTCTTATATTTGTGAGCTTGGAGTGGCTGCTAGTGTCAAAAGATTATGTGTTGTCTCAGTTGGGAAACAATGGTGTAATATTCTTCTGATGACTAACTGCTTATTGTGAAATTTTCCCAAGTCACCTTTGTTAATACGATAGCAGAGACCCAAGAAATACGCAGTTTTCTCCGAGGCTTTAGAATGAGATATTTGAGTCATCTAGCAGTTAAAAAAATTTGGTGGCAAATATTTCTGTACCAGTTTTCAGTTGAACTTCGGGTTTGAGGCATGATCTGTGTTTTCCCATAACACTTTGATTGTGATTTGCAGAAAAACTCGTGCATATTGCCAGAGGATTTGAAGAACTTCTATCTGATGACGGATGGCTTCCACATGACCTGGAGTGTGAAGACCGATGGTGAGTCCACGTGTTTTTATCCACTGATACCATCATTCCATTGCAGCTAGTCTTTCCTTTGCAGAACCTCTTTAATTTCTGACTTACTTTCTGCATAGTGAATGCACATCTCTCAATGTCCTGCATTAGTCTGAGCCAAAAAACAGGTACCAAGTCATTCTGAATTAAAAACTAGCACCATTCCTTAACTTTCCAACAAACAAAGTAGTTTATTTCTACTAGGCAGTTTAGTCCACTGACTACAGAAATCTGACCTCTGAATTAACAGTTAAAAAAGGCAGTTCTGCATAGGATCATAGACTATTTTAGAGATTCCTGACAAGGAAAAAAATAGGACTGCCTATCAGAGGTCCTTTCTTAATGCAGCAGGACAAAATCTATTGCTTATGTGCACCTCACAGAAGAGGTGCAGACACTGAAAATAGCAAGAAGCCAAACAACTACTCATGACATAAATACTGTTCCGTAATACACTGGCCATCTGTTGACACTCATATTTAGGTATGTAATTTAAATCTCATACCTTAACTCCCTCTGTAGTTCATGGAGAGAGAAGCAGCTGTAGCTCATTATCCCATCATGAAGCAATAGGAGGAGTCACCTCTGATAATGTTTCTTTCTCATTAAAAAGTATATGCTGGAACCTGATTCCGCTTTCCACTGCAAAAGTCAGAGCTTCGTTGTCCATCCTTGTTGGGCAAGAATCAGGCGTATTGTTCATTTTGCAGTTATTATCCTGGATCTGATTGCCCTCAAGCAAGGCTGTCAAATTGGGCTGTGGACACTTCCTTACTTCTGGAGGAGGTGGGTGTCAAATACAGGATCTTCCTCAGGAAGTGAAATTGATTTCAGAGACAGCTCACATCAGGGCTTTAGCACCTTCGGTGACTTCCATCATGTTTCAAGTGGGATTTGCTCTGTTGTGACCTCTGAAGAGTCTTGTTTTCAGGGCTCAAAAGTGCACAGAGTCCAAGGCAGCTCACATAACTGTCTTGTTTGAGCAAGCATCCAACAGTGCCTTCTGAGACCTATCACACTGACACGTGGCTCTGCGGGGTGCTTGATGACTTGATGGTGTTAGAAAGGATTGGGTTGGTGTGTGGAGGAACAGAAATACCTCCTATACTTTCCTGACACTGGATGTGGTTAACAGTGAGTCTTATCACAGATACTCCCATGCCCCTGGGCTCCATGGTGATTAACAGCATCTCGCAGCTGTGTCGGCTCGGGGGCTCCTCCATGTACACCCTGCCCAATGCTCCGACCCTCGCCGACCTGGAAGATGACACGGACGAGGAAGGTAAGGCCTCTTAACAGGCTGGAAAATGTGTTCTCTATAATCCCTTTTGCTCTGTTAGAATAACGTTAGGATATAGCACATGAACTGATGAGCAGTGACCCCTTGCACTAGACCAGGTTGGTCAGAGCCCCATCCTGGCCTTAAGCACTCCAGGGATGGGGCATCCACAGCTTCTGTGGGAAACCTGTTCCAGTGCCTCACCACAGTCATAAGAAAGACCTTTTTTCCTAATATCCAATATAAACCTACTCTCTATCAGCTTGAAGCCATTCCCCCCGTGTCCTTTCTCTACATGCTCTTGTAAAAAGTCTCCCTTCATCTTCCTTGTCGGCTCCCTCAAGATACTGGAAGGCTGCTATTAGGTCACCTCAAAGCCTTCTCATTTTCAGGATGAACAATCCCAATTCTCTTAGCACCTCAGCTAACCACCATAGCAGTAGGATTGGAAGGAGTGATCTTTAAGATCCCTTCCAACCCAAACCCTTCTGTGATTCAGTGATTTTTTTGTCTCCTGGGCTGGATCTATTATGTATCTTAGTAGTCCCTTACAGCCTCGACAGGCAGATCTGTAGGCTGTGAATATCATGGGGGATGTTAATGCTGCCAGTTGTTAGTTAGTTGTATCCTCTTTTAGCAACCTGTCAGCCCTCCTGTTGCCTTTTCCCTGTTTAAACTTTTATCTGTGTCTTCCTCCACTGACTGAGCTTCCAAAGTCTTTGTGTGCTTATGGTGTTCCATGAACAAAAGATAATGGGTTTTGTCTCGGTAATGAAAGTACAGCTGGAATGGGAAAAGTAACTGGTAAATACATGTAACTGTGAGGTTGCAGTGGAAGGTATGCATTTCCAGACTGCCTAAAATGCTGGGAATACTACTATTTGGAGAGAAAAATAAAAGCCCACTCACTTTCTTCAGAGCTCTTACAGTCTAACAAGACTGGAAAAATTAAGAGGATAGGAACAGAGCCAGGTGTTGTGCCAGTTTCTTTTAAAAAGTGCTATTTGATTTCAGTCTTATCTTTGCATCTCTGTAGTTCTTCTAGCTTCTAAATGTGGCTGAAAGTTTCTTCTTGCACGTTCCAGCTTGGCTACAGTCCTGATCTTCTAGCCATTGTAATGAAATGTACCAAATTCTACTTCCATTCAGTGACTCAAACCTCCAGCGATGCACTTATAAGGTACACTGACAAAAAGTTACATCCCCACAGAAGTTCTCATCCTGACTTTCATGGAGAATTCTTCTGGAGAGTACAGCTCTTATATCCCACTTCTTCCCCATCAGCTTTAGCTTTCAAAATTGCATTCTGCAAGAACTTGCAGCTGCACAGTCCCAAAATGGTGCTGTAGAAATGCTCTGTGGTGACTGGGAGTCCCAAGCTGAATATGAGTCAGACGTGGTTGTTGAAAGAGCTGCTGATGTCACACTGGAATGTATGGAGAAATATATGTCTACAGGTTCATTGAAGTCTTCTATCAAGAGAAAAGAATAAGTTGTTCTCCCTGTCCTCCATAGAAAAAAAGGTAATTAGGGCAAAAAAGTAACAGTAGATGTAACAGAGGCAATGGACTTCAAGTGCAGCAAGGAAGATTCAGGATCCATGAGGAAAACTTCTAAGTGATAAGTGCTAAATGTGAGTTGACTGCCTGGAGACTGTGCCATCTCCAACATTGGAGAACTTTAAGAAAAGACTAGACAAACCTGAGGAGTGACATCTGTGAAGGTGGTCTTGCTTTATGCCAGGGAAGGACTAGAAGTCAGTTTGTTGTCTGTTTTCATCCATCTGAATTTGACTTAGTGGTTTGTTTTCCTACCAGATTAAAATTTTTCTCCCTTTTTTTTTTTTTAAATTTTATTTTAAACTTGGGGAACTTAATAATTTCCAAGAAGTATAAATGTAATAGTTTGCTTTAGTTCTTCGTCAGCTGATTTATTAATAGGTATCAAATAGATTGACTCTTTGCAACTGAGTCACAGTCAGTTTTCCAAACATGTTTTATGGAATTTTTTGTTTGTTTCAGGTAATGGAGACAAACCAGAGAAGCCACACTTTGATTCTCGTAGTCTTATCTTTGAATTAGATCCATGCAATGGGAATGGGAAAGTCTGTCTTGTTTATAAGCATGCTGAACCAGGTAAGACTGAAGAGAGAAAAGTTATCTGTCTCTTGTTGTGGATTGTATCTGAAGGCCAGACTTGAAGAATTATGTTAGATTTCTGATCTTCTTTGCAATTCATAGATGAAACTTTTACTGAGGTGTCCTGTGTCCACTGAAGTCAGGGGCTAAACCTTACAGAGATTTAACTAGAGCTAACATTTTCACTCCTTTTAATGTTGGGGTATGAGTTATAATTTCTGCATGTACATGTGGACTACATACAGTGTTGAACTAATACAGAGCTCCACTAATCTATCTCTGGTTACCTGCATTTCTTGGAACAAAACCCTTACATTTTGATGAGAAAGGGTATAACTCTGCTTAGAAACAAAGGGTAGGTGGTAAGAAAAGGCCTTAGCTGACTGAGACAGGCTTAGACTGGTTCTTCCACCTTGTACATGGATGCAGAGCCTCCTGGTGCTAAGTAGGTCAAAATGGGGCAGGAAGGGTGGAACAGGAGGGTAAGAGATGGGAGCTGAGCTGTGTCTTCTGACAGATACACAGATAACTGCTATCAGTGAGTGAGTAGTGAAAACACCCAAGGCACTTGTGAAGTAAGTGGCATCTGACAGTGCACAGGTCACTCGGTGTTTGTGTGTTTACAGTGCAGGGCTGTGCAATTGCAATATACATGTTCTTAAGAAAAATCCTCAGTTATTATCTTGTGTCTTTCATTGGGTGTGACTACAACTCCCAGGGCAGTAAGTTCTTACTTGTCCCCTTGCCTTCCAGTGTCGGTGATCTCAGCACGTGCAGTGGATGACCTGTGCAGGGGGAGGGAGCACTGGTTACAGGGGTCGATGGCAGTGCAGGGGACAGACTGTTTAACTGGCATGTTCAGCATCTCAGTTTCCCAAGAAAGAAAACATGCATTCTTTTTATGCTACAAAGGATGTTACCTCTAGAGAAATACTTGATCACCGTGGAAGGATTTTGCAAAATGTGTTTTTGTTGGCAGCACGCACCCCCATGACTTCCAGACTCTGGACTCTATTCAGTAATCCAGATGACTGACAATTGAGTTAGCTGCTTTTTACTTTGTGGGGCAGATAAATGTTTGCCATAATTGTACTTTGAACGTATACTACAAAGTTGCTGGTGTCCAGGAATGTTCCATGTAGCGTATCAGTCCCAGGCTGGGAAGGAATAGCATGGCATTCATTGTCCAGGACACAACCAGACAAATACATCATGCAACGGGTGAGCAACTGGCTCACGAGTCAGGCACAAAAGGTTGTAGTGAACTGGGTCACTCGGGCTGGGGATTGGTCATTAGTGGAGTTCTGCAGGGCTCCATGTTAGGCCCCGTGCTCTTCAATGTCTTCATAAACAGCTTGGACACAGGACTGGAAGGCACATAAAGTAAACTTGCCCATGATGCTAAATTGGGAGGAGCTGGTGTCTGCCCCAAAGGCAGGGAGGCTTTGCAGAGAAACCTTGACAAATTAGAGGACTGGGCAGTCACCAACCATATGACATATGACAAGGGCAAGTGCTGAATTCTGCATCTGGCTGTGCATAAAACCACCTTTCTGATGAGTTTGTTGTGTCTACCACCTGACAGTGGCCAGGTGTTAATCTTATCACTGCAGAGCAACAGTGTGACTTGTGCTTGTTTTATCCTAGTTGTCTCCCCAGACACAGAGATATGGTTCCTGGACAGAGCTCTGTATTGGCATTTCCTCACCAAAACCTTCACAGCCTACTACCGCCTGCTCATCACCCACCTGGGTCTCCCACAGTGGCAGTACGCCTTCACCAGCTACGGGGTCAGCCCCCAGGCCAAGGTAGGATAGCAGGGTCCAGCTTCTCATTTTTTTGCTAAGCACAAACTGGGAAAACATCTTCCCACCTTTTGACAAGCAGTCTGTACCCCCAGCGGGGCCCTCCTTGGTGAGCCATGGAAGGGACCACGAGTCTTTTCCCAATGGCATGTTAATAGTCACTTGTTTCACAGTAATATGAATTCACTAATATCGTGTTAACCCTGCTTTTCTCACCTAAGTCAGGCCCTACCCTCGGCCTCTAATAGCATGTGGTAGAACCCTGATTATTTATTTTCCTTCTTGATACTGAAGCAAACCTTCACTTCCATGGCTGCTGGCAACTGAGGGGAGCTACTGATCCCCATAGCTGTGTAAGATTTGTCTGGATCAGTTTTCTGGGCATAGCACTGAACAAGAACCTAATGCTCTCTGGATGGAGAGGGAAGTCCAGGTACACATTAGACAGAATGATGGATGAAGACTGTGAGCTTCAGCCTTGCCAATAATATTAATTCCTTTTCACACTTCTCAGGCATGAAGGGATGCAATGTAAATGCCAGCAGTCCTAGAAGTAGTTATAGAAGAGCTATAGGTAAAGCCTTGTGACCATTCCTTATTATTATTATTGAAACTGCTGTTCTGCTATGCCAAAATCCTACTATTAGAAGCTTCTGCTGTTCCTCTGTGTTTGACAGGGCCTTCAGCCCTAACGCTGCTTCCATCATGTGAGAGGTCAGGGAATGGAGCTGACAGTCCTACTGAACACAAGCCAGTGCAGTGTCTGTGCGCACTGGCAAGGTCTCAGTGAGTGTCCTGCACTTCCCCCAGACATGACAGCTGTCCTGCCAGCATGGCACTCCTTGGTCCTGTGTGCACATCGGAATTACCCACTAAAATCGCTGCCAACTTCCCATCAATCAGTGGCTGTAGAATTTGGTTCTTTTCATTTCTGGTGTCTTCCCTGTTACACTGCACTGTCCTTCATCAACCCATGCTGTGTACATGGTACTGTAGTGTATGCCTGTGATCTGCCCTTCTGTAGTTTTCCTGCTATAAATATTTTATTACATACAGTATATTCGCAAAGTGAAATCATTTGTATATTCCCTAATCATTTCCAGCCCCTGTTAGTTAAAATCCTCCTAGTGCGTTAACCATTACCATTTTTCAAGTTTTCAAGGGAGTATTTAAAGCTGTTTTCCAATAAGCAGTACATGAATAGGTTGATATCTACATTTTGGTATTGGTCTTCTGTTTGTCTTGTTCAAAACATTTTTGATGGTTTCAGTGTGACTTGTAATATTGTAACTCTTACAGTTTTGTTTCCTGGCTTTGTCAATGAAAAAGCAATGGGAAAAATACATAGGAGTTGAGAACTGTAGGTCATAACATTGTGCTGATCTTTGGGAACCAAGAAACTAAACCACTGTAGTTATTTCTAGACAGAAAATCAGAAGTAGAAAGAAAATAAGAGAAACCAACACGAAATCCTTTGTGTAAACCTGTTAAAAAACCTGTGTTATTTTATATGTGAAGAGAGGGGGGAAAGCTGTGTTTTGAGAAGTTCAACTAGTTGGTTTCCAGTTTATAAGCCCATTTAAATTCCGGGTTTTTTAATCTTTTCTGCTTATCTGAATCTAGATACATGTGTTGAGTTTCATCCCCTCCCTTTGCTTTTCCTCCTGTGATTTAAATCAGGGGTTGCTCCCTATAGCAGTCACACTGCAGGAAAGGTAGTGTTAGGTTTGTGTCTGGTTCTTCTCTTACCTATCTGGAATGCAGTTCCAGGACTGTAGCTGTAACCATGCCTTGTGTATCCTTATCACAAACACTCTTCAAAGTCCTGTAAACTGCAAACTGATAAGTGCTGTAGGATTAAAATCATGTCCCAGGGAAGAGGGGGAACAAGATGAAATTGTCTATTTGCAATTTGAATTTAACCTCTTCCTTCCCATAATCCTGCCTTTCAGCAATGGTTTAACATGTACAAACCCATAACCATCAACACAGCACTCCTGTCTGAAGAAGCTGATTCCTTTGTGAACAAGCTGGACCCCAACAAGGTATTTAAAAGCAAGAACAAAACTCCAGTACTCAAAAAGAAACCACCCTCTCAGCCAGCAGGCCCCCAAAAGAGTCACACGAGCATGACCTCTGCCAAGACATCCTCACTAGCTGGGAATACTTCAAGGAAGTGAGATCCCCAGATCTGACCCTGGACGGCATTTGCAATAAGCTCTGATGTTCTCTGCTGCAGAGTCTCAGTGATTCAGACCAAGTTCCTTGTGCATGAATAGATGTGCCCATGGAAAACGTACTGCAGCATTTGCATGAAATATAGCCACGATGTGGATGTAGGTCCTGGAGACTCTTAAGAAAAAAAACTTGAGACATTGATTTCATTCCCTTGTGCTACTTACAGCATGTGTTTTTCAGAGGGCATGAAGGAGCCCTTGATGTCACTGCTCTATAGGGAAGCTTTTGTTCCTGTGCACCTACAGCAGTGAAATGAAGGCCGATGTAAGTCACCATTACTTTAACAGACCATGCTGAAATAGAGGTATGAAGATGTTTCTGCCATCTGCTCTGAAAGAAACCTGTCCTGACCTTGCATGCTGTAGGAGCAGGCTGGAACCTGCTGAACAAAGAAATAACTTCCACTTCAGATAGAATCAGACTCCGCACTTCCCTTTTCTCCTTCCAACTTCTGCTCTGAGATTCATGGTACAGGGGGACCTGGGACTTTGGTGTCTGGTTGCTCTTCTCTGGACCTGCTCCAAAACCTCAATGTCCTTCCTGAACTGAGGGGCTCAGAACTGAACACAATACCCCAGGTGTGGCCTCGCCAGTGCTGAGTACAGGGGAAGGATCACTTCCCTGCTCCTGCTGGCCACACTGTTCTTCATGCAGGCCAGGATACCATTGGCCTTCTTGCCCACCTGGGCACACTGCTGGCTCATCTTCAGCCTCCTGTCAATCAGCACTCCCAGGTCCCTTTCCACCTGGCTGCTCTCCAGCCACTCTGTGCCCAGCCTGTAGCGCTGCAGGGGGTATTGGGGCCAAAGTGCAGGACTAAGAACTTGGCCTTGTTGCACCTCATCCCATTGGAATCAAACCATCTCTCCAGCTTGTCCAGGTCCTTCTGCAGAGCCCTCCTGCCTTCCAGCAGATCAACACTCCCTCCCAACTTGGTGTCATCTGCACGTTTGCTAATGGTACACACAGTCCCCTTATCCAGATCATCAGTAAAGATATTAAATAGAAGTGGGCCCAACACTGATCCCTGGGGGAAAACCACTAGTGACTGGCTGCCAACTGGATGCATGATTCCAAATAAGCCTGAAGGCAGCCAGAAGCTACAAGATCCCACATTGCCTCCCTCTTGCGGGAACCCCTGAGCAAGGGTGAGTCAATGGTCTTGAGTCCCATCAGCAAGGAGGACCCCTTGGTTTGTCACACATTCATTTGCAAAGCTGACCGTTAAAACAGCCTTTGCCTTTTCAGTTGGGTGGGATCTTACCAGGGGCCATTGAGATCCTACAACTTTAGAAGCCCCTGGTGCTGTTTTCTGTACTGTAAGTTTTCAGGTTAGAACTGCACTTTAATCCATTCACTGCTGGTTTTCAGTTACACCTGATTGTTTCCACTACTTTTCTATGCTATTCTGTCTTCCTAGGTGTGCTGGAAATGCATGATAGAACCCAACACATTTTGTGCCTAAACAGGGAAATTAAAGTCACTGTCTTCAAATAAGCATTGATTATTTAAACAGCATCATCTTTAATTTATGAAACCATCACATAATTACACAAGACAAACCTACCTCACAGGGATGTTGTGAGGCTTTCATTAGTATTTGTATGGCCTTCAGAAAAATGAAGCCACTCTGTAAGTGCTTAATAGTATTTTAATAAATACTTAAATATTTTTGTCCAGAGTGATTGGGTATTTGAAGATGCTTTGGGGGGGATGTGCACAAGGATTTGTGGCAAGAGCAAGGTGCAGGCTGGATTGTTTGGGGTTTTTTAGTGCAGTGGGGAATCTCTCAGTGATGGGTTGCAGTGCTTTTAGCACTAATCCATCCTGAGCTATTCTGAAGTTCCCAGTTTAGTTCCCATAGGGGAACTAAAGTCTGACAGCTGTTCCAGTTCTGTCCCATGGTCGCTGTACAAAGTCTCTGCCCCAGCTCAAGCATATTTTGCTGGCTTCCAGTGCTGCCTAGGGCCCACTCTCAAATGCAGTTGCTGCATTGCCTGGCAGCCACCCTCTGCCACCCCCAAAAGGCAAAAGATCTCTGATGCATCCTCTCAAGCTGATGTGTGTCTTGGCACAGGTGAAGATCTGCTGTTGCTGCTCTACTAATATATAAAGTCAGCTCTCATGAGGAAGCACCTACCTCATGCCACAGGAGTCCATTATTTATCCTTTTAATAGGGAGATGGGAATAATCATTAAAGCCAGTAAATGTAATTTTTTGGAATTCTGTGCAGTGATGTTCTGTCCCTTCCTACTCTTGGAGATTTCTTTGTCATTTATTCATGGCACCCAGCCCTGGGACTGCAGTTATGTGCTTGACATACATACCATATGCACTTAAGCACTTTCTAGAAAAGTTAAGACTCTGGTCACCCCCCCAGGAATGCACAGCTTCAGATGGTGTTTTAATCCAATGAGATCTCAAACTTGTAAGGCTGGTGCAGGCCCACTTCCTCATTCAGATGGAGGTAGCAGAATTCCTGCCACAGCAGGGCAACCTCTGCTCATATTTCTCATGCATTCAGAGTGGAAAAAGAATGTGTTAGGGGGTGGTTGTTTGAGTTTTTGGGGATGCTGTCACAGAAGTTATCTGAATTCTTTCATATAGTGGTAGTTGGTGATAGTTCAAGTCTAGCCTGTCAGTAACACACATGGTTCTGTGATGCCAGCATGTTCCAGCAGAGCTGTGGCAGGATTCAGGAGACCCTGTGGTTTAGTTTACTAATTTTTTGATGCTTCCTGAATGTTCAGATTAAAAAAAAAATAAAAATAATAATAAAAAAACCCACCAAGTTCATGTTTCTATTTTAGATTGTCCTTGCTCTTCTCTTTTCTGTGCTCTGCCAAACTATCCTTCAGTAGGATGGTATCTGCCTCTTACCAAGGAATATTCCAGACCAGATTTCTATGTTAATAAACTTAATCCCATTTTTTCTGCCATTGTTGACTCCTGTATTTTGATCTGTATGAATATATAGGTATCTGGAGTCTCGCAGCTCTGCTTTGCTTTTCTTCAAAATGTGATGTTTGCATTTGGGTTTGGGTATTTTTGGTAGATTTTTAAACAGAGAGATTGAATCATTTCTTCAGGTCACAGTCAGGTCCAACCCTACCCAGGTCTGCCCATTATCTCAGAGACCAAGTTTGTCTGGTTAAGCAGAGTGGGTTTACTGAAGACTAGTCCCTCATCTACATGTTGGACAAACAGTGTGCTCCTCCTATGTGTCATCGAAGCACATGGCTGTCACAGCTTGGAAGTCTCCACACCTCTCTCTTCTTTCCTATTTTCAATTTCCTCATCAGGTTGGTTGTGAATATCAATGAAGACTCTATAGATTAAAGCACCAGTAAGACTTCCCAGAATTGGAGCTATGACTGGGACCCACCACCAGTGATGTCCAGCCCTAAAAAGAAACACAGAAAAGGCAGCTGGTGAGCCAGGCTGGAACTTCTTACCCTGGCACTTCATTGTGCAGCAGGAGTGAGCTGAGTCTGCTGGGATGGGGTGAGCTATGTGAGCAGAGGTGCCTGTCCCACTTTGTATACTGGGCTCTGTAACCAGCTTAGGCAAATTTGCTCTCCACCACCTGGTTGCTGGAGGGAAGGTCATTTTCCCCATCAGCATGAAAACGTGGCTCCACACTGTCTGCACGTTTCTTGTTATCCAAAAGAAACAGTCTACGTGATCTTGATGAGTGTGACTCAGGCACAGGCACCCACATTTTCCCTCCCCTTTTCCAGTAACATCTGCACCTCCTCTACCAACCTCTCAAATACATTTTCAGGGAATTTAAGGAAAATGGGCATCTGGGACAGGAGACTCCAGTAATGACCACACCATAGGAAAAGCCATGGCATGGCACCATCCTACTAGACAGGGGAAGGCAAGGTTTCATGTCCAGATTCAGACATCTAAATTTAGGAGAGCTATTCAGCAATCCAGCTGTAAGTACCTGCATTCAGGTGAGTTGAATGCATTCTGGCTCTCTGGTCAGTGCAGTAGCCAGCCAGATCTCCAGTGAATGGGTGAACAGTGTGGTGCCCAAACTGAGGTATCAGAGTGTCAAGGTGAATGCCATGGAGGACAATTAATGTACCCCAAATCTGGTGTACAGAGTAGAGTGCCCAGGGCTCCTCTAGGCACAGCCCTAGCTCTCTGAGAATGGAGAACACACTCTGCAGTGACCACCATCACTTGGCCCAAAGAAAAAGGCCTCAGAACCATTTTATCTTGGGCCTGTCTCCTCTCCTTGCAAGCTGGGCAGTGTAAAAGCAGAACAGGTCACTCACGTGAAGACTTCTGTTCCCCAGCCAGCAATTGCAGTGAAGATCCTGGGGGGCAGGTCCCGGGAGGGGTTTATGGCGTAGCCTGTGTTCATCCCCATTCCCAGGCCGATGCCCAGGACCAGGACACCACAGATCAGGGGCTGAGTGCCTTTCAGGGCTGCGTTGTTTTTGTCATCGTGGATGACGTGAACGCCCAGGACCAGCATAACTGTCGCCGTAAACTGCAGGAGCAGAAAAGGGAGAACAGGTCATGAGAGAGAATGGGGAAGGGGGAAGGATTCTGCTCAGCAGAGGGGAAGAGGCTTCCCAGAATCACAGAGGAGGTAAGATTCATGGTCTGATTAAGGCAGGGAGGACCCAAACTTTACTCCTGCCTCACAGGTGGACTGAAGACAATTCTAGACTCATTTCTCAATAAATCATTTCTCACCTCATCGCCAAAAGTGCTCTAAGACTGATACAAACTTCTCAGCAACAAACTCTCCCTCTCCACCTCTCAAGTCAGGGAAAAGGGTTATTTTAAGTACATTTTGTCTAACAGAAGCAGAGCTTTAGCAAACGGCTAACAAGACAAATCTGATTCTGTCTGGAGGGAGTGATGTTTTTACTATGGCCTGTTGCTTTAGCACTTCCTGCAGATAGCAGATTCTCATCTGAGAAACTGAATGTCCCATCAGTAACAGCACATAGCTGGCATTTGTAGATCTGCAGTGCCCAGTACATCAAGAACCATAGTTTGTATAGAGGTGATAACTCTCTTTCAGCTTCAGGAAATGCAGCTGGAGAGCCTTAGTCTGCTTGCAGAGATGCCAACAAAAGCAAAAACACTTCAGCTCTCAGCAATGTATGTCACTGTCATTTGCTTAATTGGGCAGCAGGGATACCACCTGATGCACAGGAGGCTGAGTGATCAGCTCCCCACCTGTAGCTCTTCCCACTCTCATCACCTCCCTCATCATGCCAAGACAGGAGTTTTGTTAGCTCAGAAACAAAATCACTAGTTCCTAAGATATTCACTGGAAGTGAATCTTCCCTCTCAAGTATCTCAGTGCTTCACACATCCCTTTCCTATTGCTGGGCACCTGGACATTGTGCTGTGTGCTGGGAATCAATTGTACACAGTCTCAGTTGGACTATTCAACTGTAGAGTTTCAGTCCAGGCTGTGCTCATGTGAAGACAGTCCCAGCCTCTCTTTGCTGGGCAGGAGCAGCCAGCACAGCTGCCTAGGGTCATGGACTGGGTGTAGAATCTAAAAAAGGCAAGAACAATTCAGGGAACTGCCCAGAACCCAAAGGAGATAGTTGCTGATACAGGTCAGCTTCTCATTTCCCATCGCTTGTGCTGCACAAAGGAAAAGTGACCGGAGGGCACTTGGACCAAGCTGCAGAGCCTCCTGCCAGCATTACCCTGAAGCAGACCTGTTACCTCCCACCTTTTCCTGGCACACCACAGCCATTCTTACTGACCTCTGTAAAGAAGGCCCCCAGCAAGGATACATTGGGAGCAGGGTAAGTGGAGAAGATCAGTGCAGTGGCAGTTGGTCCTGTGACTGTGAAGTTCCCCTTGGTGTAGTCGTACAGAGCATCTAGGAGAAATGGGAGTTAGGGAACTTAGCACAGAGTTCATCCCACAAGTCACATTCCCATGTCCACCCATTGCAGCCAGCACAGGCGCCAAGGAGAAGAGAGGCGATGGAAGATATGATGGAGGTGACACACTCCTGGCAGGGCGTGATCTCGGCGATACCTATTGCCCACAGACTTTGGTCTGCAATTTCTTCCTTATGTCCCCTATCCCTGCTCCAGCAGCCTGGATGCACTGGAGGCCTCCAACCCTGAGACTGAGACGAGCTGGAAACAAAATGCCGACAAAATGCAACTGCTGCACTTCACTTGAGGACAGGTTTTGAAAGTGGGAATGCCCTGAGCAAAAGGAGTTATGTTGTCCAGGAACTGCATATCCTTCCCAGAGGTATCTGTGACCTGCTCTGACTGTGAACTATAAAGTGTGTCTCACAAGCCTTGCCCTCCTCACCCAGAAATCGTGCTGGGGACTCTAAAAGGAGATATTTTTTACAATGTGAGTTGAATGAAGTGAGAACTACAGCAACCCCTGTGATAAAAGACACAACAGTACCATAGTAGAGGCCAAAGACAGTGGCTGCTGCCAAAAAGGAGCCCAGGAACTGTCCGATCATATAAGCTGTGAGCCTTTTCCAGCTGAGGTTTCCTAAAATCCACTCCGTAATAGTGATGGCAGCATTCAGATGACCTCCTGCAAAATCACAGAAAAAGAGAGTGGCCTCAGCCCTGATGTAGCTGGTTAAGGGCATGTGACTGGGCAGATGCCCCATTCCTAGAAACATTCAAGTCCAGGTTGGACAGGGTTCAGAGTAACCTGCTCTGGTTGAATATGTCCCTGCTCACTGCTGGGCGGTTGGGCTACACGACCTTTAAAGGTCTCTTCCAACCTAAACCATTCCACAGTTCTATGCCCTGTGGTTACCCAGACCTTGTTCCAGAACACCAAGACTCTCTCAGGGCAGGGTCTTACTCCTGGACAGACACAAAATTGACCTGTTCTCCCTGCTCAGCTGAATCATGCAGCTCAAATTGCTACTAGCTTTAGTCTTCTAAAACTTCTGTAGACCACAGGCTGCCTCCAGAGTGTGGATCACCTTACCAGTCAGAGATACCTTTCTTGTCGTGGCATGAGTTTCTCTGTGAGTTTCTCAGTGGGCTTCTCTTTATTGAGCTTAAAAAGAGCCCAGACTTAGCCTACTCTACAGGTAGATGAGGCAAATCTTATCCCAAACAATTGCAAGGCCTTCTGGACACATCAGATAGACAAGAAGGGCCTTGTCCAGGCAAAGCTGAGTACCCCAGCTGATGGGAGCTGTGGGCCCTTAGCCTACCTGGCAGGCAAGGCATGAGGTGCTAGGAAAACTGCAAAATCAGCCACTGGCAACCCATATCTTTGTGACTGCATGGCAAATCCTACACAGGGCTGCTGTCAGGGACTCAGGTGAGCTCTTGGACATCACTGCATTGAGAAGGGGTTGCCAGGATGTTCAACCATGCCCAGATCATAGTTGCTCCCACTTGTTTGAAGCAGACACTGTCCTTCCCTTGCAGAGTTTGTAACCTTGGACTGCATTTCCTGATATCTTTCGGTATGTGGCTTTCATACAGTGCTAGACCATTTTTCCCTGTTTTGATGGGACACTTTCTGTGGAGGAGCTTGGTATCACAATGTTGCTTTTGGAGAAGAACTACATGGATTTGGTGCCCTTGGTGTGTTCTGCAGGCCCCATGTCCCCACAAGTCTAAAGGAAATCATAGAATCATAGAATCATAGAATAGATTGGGTTGGAAAAGACCTCCAAGATCATCAAGTCCAACCCCTGATCCAACTCTAATTACTATATCATGGCACTAAGGGCCATGTCCAATCTCTTTTTAAAAACTTCCAGGGATGGTGAATCCACCACCTCTCTGGGCAGGCCATTCCAATGCCTGATCACCCTCTCTGTAAAGAATTTCTTCCTAACATCTAACCTAAACTTCCCCTGGCAGAGCTTGAGCCCATGTCCCCTTGTCCTGTTGTTGGTTGCCTGGGAGAAGAGACCAACGCCCACCTGGCTATAACTTCCCTTCAGGTAGTTGAAGAGAGTGATGAGGTCACCTCTAAGCCTTCTCTTCTCTAGACTAAACAATCCCAGCTCCCTCAGCCTCTCCTCATAGGACTTGTGCTCAAGTCCCTTCACCAGCCTGGTTGCTCTTCTCTGGACCCGCTCCAGCACCTCAATATCCTTCCTGAACTGAGGGGCCCAGAGCTGAACACAATACTCAAGGTGTGGCCTCACCAACGCAGAGTACAGGGGAAGGATCACTTCCCTGCTCCTGCTGGCCACACTGTTCCTGATGCAGGCCAGGATGCCATTGGCCTTCTTGGCCACCTGGGCACACTGCTGGCTCATGTTCAGCTTCCTGTCAATCAGCACCCCCAGGTCCCTTTCTTGCCCAGTAGGTATAAACTTTAGGGGTCAGTAAATGTTCCAGCCTTAATGACCATCTCCTACTCCAGACTCCAGAAGGGGTAAGATGCAGACACCCATTGTCTCATTAAAGTGGAGGAGAAAGTGAAGTAAAAGTGCATGTATTGCCTTGCTACAGTCCAACAACCACAACTGAAACTGGGGGTAGATCCCTTTTTCTTTGATCCTCTGCTCCTTTGCGGGTATGACCAGCCATTTCAGAGATCACAAGAAGCATCTTGTGACACACTGAAGCCAAACTACTATGATAGGAAGCCCTGAAGTCTGCTCCATAACCAGACTGTTGCTGGCTGAGCTGAGATCCCTTCCCTCTGCCCTCAGCAGAGGAGCTTCTTCTCAAAAGTCACTTGGGACTGCTGGGACCTACTGTTCTCAGCCCACTTTTCCCAGGATGTTTCCACCACCTCCAAAATGTCAAGGAAACCAAGACCTGACTGCTCGCGTGGAAAATTTTTCCAAGAAAGCCCTAGGCTTGGACCTCATTCTGCTTCAACAGTTCACGAGAAAAGAATTGCTTTAATTTTCTGCCCATTAGAGCCATTAATCTTGTCTCTTGGTGCAAATCAGTGCAGAAATAGCACAAGGCAAAGGTAACGCTCTGTCACGTGAGGGATGGCACTCCACCGCCCTGAAACACCACCTCCCGAATTCATGTGGGGCATGTGGGCGTGGATGTGGATGGTTGGAGGAAATTTGCATACCATTCCTTATTGTGACATCAGCAGTAAGCTCTCCTTTGCAATGAATTATTTACTTCCCCACGGGTTGTATCAGCAGCATGTTTTGGGAGCTCCCTGTCTCCTTAGGCCATGATGGCATATCCCAGCTGCCTAATGGGAGAACTGCTGAGACCTGGCTCTGCAGCAGGAGGGGAAGGCAGAACCTCTGCCACCCTCCCTTTCCCACTTGCCCCATCACAGCTCAGAACACAAGTTTGGGGGCAGCATGCTGTAGGTGTGCTGTGCCTGCCTTGTCCCTTGCTTCCCCTGGCAGTGCCAAGCCACCGCAATTCCTTGGCCTGGCCTCTGACCTGCCCCTCCTCCCAGACTTGTCTGTGTTCTCCAGCTCACAAAGCTGACCCTGGTCATGGTCACCAACCAGACCTGCTCTACTCTTCTTGCTTGGGTACCCTAGGACTGCCCTTTTTGGGGTGAGGGCACTGCTCCACCTTTCCATATTATCAGCCCCTCCACAGCCCACTGGTGCTGTTCCCAATGCATGCGACCTTTAGGGGACATGGATATGTCCCATGTCCTGCTCACCAGATATTCCTCCAGATGCATGGATTCCCAAAGTAACACCAATGCCAAATGCCATATTGATGCTCAGATAGTGACCAGTGTTTCCTTTTCCTAATACCACTTGTGCCACAGAGGACAAGCCGAAAACCTGTGGAAAAAGAAAGAGAGAAAGGAGTGTTAAAAGTATATATGAAAAATATTTAAAAGTTGCTGTGGTAGACTGATCTTCTTTGCTACTTTTTCTGCAATACGAATAAACTCCCCAAGACAGGAAGTCTCTAAGGTGCTATGGTCAGAAGACAAAGAACAAGCCTCCCCTGCAAAAATTGAAGTGATACCTGGGATACTTCTCATTGGTGCCCATCAAACCAAACCAGGCACTCTTGTTCTGCTTGAGTTTGCGGAGACAAACCCCAAACACCCACACCAAGAGCTGGGGCTCAGTGAGGATCATTCACACAGCCACAGCAGAGGTGTCTGGGCCTGAAACCCAGACATGAGGTAGGGGAGAATCACCATGGACCACGCAGGGGCAATGTGCAAGATGGATGGAAGGAGGGTGAGCAGATTCCTATTGTCTTTCTTTTCCTAGTGTGCAATTTCCTGACTAAAAATGTAGTTTGGGCAGCATATAGCTATTTACCAAACTCGACTCCAATTTTGGTAACATTCCAGCAGAAGACAAGAGAGGAAATTCTGGTTTGACTTTCCCATTCAATACATAAGACTTTCGGTTTGAAAACAGCCAAAGTTTCGATATTTTTTTAATGACTAAAGGAGAAACAGTGAAAAAATTAAAAGTAAACACTCTCCAGCAGGGAAAGACATATTCAAGAAATTGCTCTGTCCTGAAAATAAGTTTTATGTCAGTTTTTAAATATGGTAACAGATTGGAAAAATCAGTTCTTTGAATGCTCTTACACCAAAATCTGGAGAAGGATGACGCTTCTTGTGAGGTTTCGGCCTCACAAACCACTTAGGGTTTGGAAAGTGTATCCTGTATATCCTGCTCCTTGGGCTGCACTGATATTTAAGCAGGATGACATGTCTTTCAAAAACAAGGAAGTCAATATGTTCTCCAGCATCTAGACTTCTCCTCTGACTTGTATTGTTTTTCTGATCTTTTCTGGCTGCTCTGCCTGGATCCACATTTTATCTCATGCATCTGCTTCCCCTCAATGCTTTCAGACATCACCCAAATCCCCTGCTCCCCCGGGGCTGCTGTTTTATCTCTCTCATATACACAGACCACGCACACCCTGTGCTTTGCACAGAGCTGCAGCCTGCACAGTGTGAGCTCTTCTCAGATTGCCTTAGCAAAAAGCACCAAAAGCAGTTTATGATGTCCAGCAGCATCTGCAAAGCATCTGCATATTCATCTCTGAATTTTCCAAAACTAAGATCCAAGAGAAGGCAAATGCATAAGGCACAGGTTTTGCAGGAGAGCACACAGGTGCAGAGAGAAGGTTACAAGGCAGGAGATATAATTGTGCATGAACAGCATTATGCTGAAAAAGAAACACAAGACAGGGCACAGAATTTATTTTTCAGCACAGATCCAAACCTCTCTTCTCTTCCTGTATCCTCACAGTCCCAAAATACTTTCTTTTTTTTTTCCTTCTTCCCTAGCCCTTGTGCTTTTTAGTCCTGCTGTCTGGTTCCTCCTTTATCAGCATTGCCAGTCTATTAAAGTGAGAGGCCCTGGAGGTGAGTGCTGTTGTCCGAATAACAGCCATCCAGGCATCCTGGAGGTGTATCCAGCACATTCCCATTTGCACTGAGGGCCAAGATGCTGCTGAAGAGCTGGGTGCTGGATGATGCTCACCATCAGCCCTTGATGGGAGTCCACTTTAATTCTATTCCCTCACATGGATCAGTGAGGGAAGAGCCAATGTGAGCTGCAGGCCACGCAATCTGCCTTGGACTGTCAGAGTGCAAAGAGAAGTCTCTACCTCATGCTACTTCCCAGAGACAGCCATGGCAGGACAACCCTGAATTGTTCTTTATCACTTGGTAACTTCTACCACCAAATAACAAAGGGAATAGCAGGCAGTTTGCTTTTGGAAAATGATTTGCTAAGCTGTTTCTGAGGCCTCACAGATGCCTGTGCTCTGACTTACTATGGGTACAAAACTACCTAGGAGTGAACTTCAAGGAGGTGGATGTGCAATGTGGTGTGATAAAAAGCAACCACGCTCTGCATGGGCAGTTGTTGCTCCTCTAAATGAGCACCTTTGTTTGTACAGACAGCTCTGTCAAAAGGTCCCTATGCTTATACAAATCCTTCCTCCTGCGCAGATCTCCAAGTGTAAGTTATTTGGGTTATGCTCAGCCTTTGCATGCCAGCCTCTGTCCAGTTCAAAGCATCTCAGCCCAGGCTAAGTCCAGGTGTAGTAACTTGGCACAGACAGACACTGGTCTTTTTGAGAGGAGGATCTCATTGCACTCACAGTGTCCAACACTCACAGTCTCTGATCCCCCTGGGTACTTCATCCTCACCAGAGATCAATTCTGACTGTAAAGCCTTCCTTGCCCTTTCCCCAAACATTCAGAAGCAGCCCAAGAGCTCAAGCCCACTTGGCTTTTTCTTTGTGAAACAGATCCCTCAGGCAAGGGGGGAGTTTATGTGTGATTTGGATAAACACTACTCAGTTGGCAGCAAGAAAACCAAAAGTGAAATCCTGGCATACTTCACACCCGGTAATTACATTTCCTAATGGTGGGCTGTTCCTCTGGAAGGTTCATTACTCTGGCAACACCAAAAGAGGAAGATGGATGAACTCTGCTTTCATTTCACAGCAGCTGTCTGTAATAGGGGAGTTAGGGTCTGCCCCCCAGGCCTGTTCAGGACCCACCAACCACACCATTACCCCTGGCACAGCAGGAAGAAAAGCCTCAATTCACTGTATGGGATCTTTCAGGGTGTTTGACACGAATGTTGTGTTAGTTCATCTGACCAGACACTGCTCTTTGATTTCATTCCCAAACTCTTCCTCAGTTTTCTCCCAGGAGACAACTGAAACAATGACATGTCCAGAGAAGGGCAGTGGAGCTGGGGAAGGGTCTGGAGCACAAATCTGATGAGCGATGTCTGAGGGAGGTGGGGGTGTTCAGCTGGGAGAAAAGGAGGTTCAAAAACCTTATTACTCTTTACAGCTACCTGAAAGGATGGTGTAGCCAGATGGGGGTCAGTCTCTTTCTTCCAGGTAACAAATGACAGAAGAGGAAACAGCCTCAAGTTGTACCAGGGGAGATTTAGACTGGATATTAGGAAAAATTTATTCACCAACCGGGTTGCAAAACATTGTAACAGGCCGGCCAGGGAAGTGGTGGAGGTATAAATATTAAATATATATTATAATATATCTGTATTATATATGGATATTATGATCTATACAACACCCTGGAGGTATTTAAAAGATGTGTAGATGTGGCACTCAGGGACATGGTTTAGTGGTGGGATTGGCAGTGCTGGGTTAATGGTTGAACTCTTAAAGGTCTTTCCCAACCTAAATGGTTCTGTGATACTGTGATTCTATCCCACCTGCTTCACTGTCTCCCAGCACCCACCTCCCACTCCCTGCATCACTTTTTAGCTCCAGAAGCTTTTTGGCAGATAGTTTACCTGATGAGAAATTGCCATCCCACCACAGCAGAGGGGTGAGCAATAACAGCCACTGAGCAACCCTGAGGATGCGGTAGGAAACCACTGACCTTACAAATTGCTGTTTTGAATGGTTGCACACACACACACACACACACATACACACGCATGTCTGGACCCATCTCCTCCTTACCATGAGGATGAATGTTCCCAGTGCTTCTGCCAGCAGCTCCTTCATGATGCCGCTACGAAGCGTGAGCGCCTTCTGAATCTTCTCAAACATTGTCCGCTCCGACCTCGGGAGGTAGACACGGTGCTGCTGTTGTGAAAACACACTTCAATGCGCTGAGCCAAGTTACCCTTTGAAACTTGGCACCCTCTCTTCAGCCCCAGACACCTTCATTCATTTGGTTAACGATGAACAAGCCAATAAAGCAGCAGCTAGCTTCAAAGTCTACCCCCACACATGTGCCATCCTTTAAAAGCTATATCATATGGATGCAATATTTCTATTACTGGGGCATCACAGACCCTGTGTGTCTACCCAGGAACAGCCTATCCTCAGAACAGTGGAGCTGTAAGTAGCCTTGTTATGCTCTTAAGGCTGTCTTTCTCAGCAAACTTTTTCACTGGAACTGAAAGGGAATTTTTGCTCTGCTCTACATTGTAACCCACTCACTGGTGGTTTGATGCCATTTTTTTTCAAACAGATTGGATTAGGACCATTTTCCCATGCAGGACTATTTGGATGCCCATTCTGCAGCGAGGGTGCTCTGCCTGTAGCCTGTGTGCACTGCTGTCCTCAGCTGGGAAGAGCACAATGCATTGCTTCTTGTTGAATGCACCTGTGTCTGCAGTGACATCTCACTAGCGGAGAGTCGTGCCACCAGCCACCCTGTCTGTCTTCTTGTGTGGGGCAAGGAGAAACCCAGCTCAGAAATGGTTTACAGAGACCTTCAGTCTCATCTAGCTGCCAGAGCAGAACCATTGCTGTCCTGATTCCTCCTCCATCTCCTGATTCCCTCTGCTTATCTCCCTCCTTACCAGGTGCTCTTACCTCTCCACGGTGAAAATGTTTTAATGCCCTTGTTTAATCATGGAAAAACTTACATCCATTGAACACTCAAGACCTTTCCCTGTGAGCCTTATCTGGTTCTTTGTTGGTTTTCTTCACCTTCCTCTCAGCCTGCTGCAGCTTCTCAGCGTGGCTCTGCAGAGGACAGCTCTGCAGAGGTTACCAGCAGCTGCCCCAGTGGGGACATGGTGCTCTGCTCGTGCTGCCCATGATTGTTGCTTCCCTTTGCTCTACTGCATAGGCAAAAGTTGATGAGCTTTCTTTCACCCACAGGACCCTCGGCAGCTGTATGGAAGAACCTGTGAAGCTGATCCTCCTCTGCTCCATAGATGATTGTCTATCTTCTGGCAGGGAGAGTTTTATGCAATGGGGTAATCCCTCCTCCAGGAACAGATTAGCCTTTGACCCCCAGTGAATGTCTGGACAAATATGCAGTAAATTACTAGTCTGTCTCTGACACTAAGGAGCATCTAATTATGACAGATGGTGATCATGTTGCTTGCAAGAGTGTTCCTACTGCATATTCCTAGGTGGGAAGGCTTTTTTCCTAAGAATCTGTGAGCTGTGCTGTGGCACAGAACAAGCACCAGATAAATCTTTCTAGGTCACTTCATTCTCTGCCATGCAACTGTTTATTGGTGGAGCACAAACGTGGGCCGTGGAGCACCAGGTTGGGGTAGTGACAAGAGCATCAAGTTTGTTTTGCACATGGTGGTTTCCAGGTGACTTTACATGTCACCTGAGATCTGCAAGTATTGGAGGTCTCGCAGCCTTTCTCAGGTGGACAAGGTGTGAGTGGGTCAGTATCACCCACAACTGGATCTACAACTTTGTTTTTCACTCCTGGATCTCAGGGAGCCTTCCAAGTGGATTCTTTCCCTGTGGACTATGAATCCTCTGTGTCGCTGATAGGCTTTGTCTCCTGCATTCAGGCTTTAACTATAGGCATTCCCATATTCTGATTTGGGCTGAAAAATGGACAGGTACTTCCTGAGAACAGGGGGTTCCCATGGACTTGCAGTTTTCTCAGGAAAAAAAAAAAAAAGCAGTCTCAATTCACAATAGAAATCTTAGGTTTGGTGATAATATTTGTAGCGTGATTCCCAACATTACCACTGAATTCCCTAAAATTTCAGCATGCTTCTAGTATGGCATCATGAATCACTAGATATGTGTCTTGCTGCTGCCTGTCCTTTGGTTCAGGTCATTCCACAAGATGGCACTGAGACATTAATTTCTCCTTTAAAAGTGTTCAGAAGGGTTCCTCTGTTGGCCACTGAAAATGTGAGAACTGTAATTTTGCAGTTCTTCCAGGTATTTTTAGACATTGAAGTGACAGAGGTGTTCAAGGAGAGTAACAATAACAAAACCAACACCTTTCCATAGGTCATGTAGGTCAGAGCACCTCTATTCTGACAGCACACAAACCCAAAGTCTGTGAGCCTGCACCTGACACATTACACTTTACAGACGGCAGGGAAAAACAGGCAGCTCCAACGGGCAGTTCTTCCCCACCTAAAATAAGCATCTGAGGCCAGACCTATGAGTCACACTAGATATTGACACTTTCCCTCCAGTGTCTGCACAGGGATATGAGTGATGGGTTCCAAAGTGCACACCCACGTGGAGGTACCTACCCCCAGGTGAGCTGGACTGTCCCTCTCCCTGCATCCAGATATAGTGATCTTGAGCAAGTGTAAACCATGTGAGTCAGCCAAGGGCTGGATTGCAAATATCTGCTGGTTGCCCAATGGTACCTGCTAGTACTTGCTCAGTTTCACTTACCCGCAGGGCTGATGGGGATCTCTGGGGTCACTAAATACACTCCTGACACAGACAGCCACATCACATCAACCCTTCGGTGACCAGGCAAGGCTCCATTTTAGGGGTAGGTGCTTTTTGCCCAATTCCTCCTGTTGGACCCCATCACCAGAACTTGCTGGTCTGGAGATTAGACACTTTCCTCTAATTTTAGGCCAAATTCTCAAAGCTGTTTGTCCATGTGCCAGCATTACCCCATCACAGCCATGAGGTAATTTATTTCTTGCACGTGCTATCCTTAAAAGTGTTCCTATAAGGTTTGTTAGAAGAGCATTAGCTGTTTGTGTTTAGCTCCACAGTGCCTCCTGATGTGTACCTTGATTTCTTCACAGGTTGAAACTTCACTCAGCATTGGCCTTACAAGGATTTTACCACGTTTCCCCCTGCCCATTAGGCAGCCACCTGCTAAAACAAACCCATTTTCTTCTGTAAGGCAGGTGTGCTTTCAGCAATAGTAATAAAGGTCTCAGTTTGGAGAGGAAGGTTTTTGGCACAGTCAAGGTGTGCTGGTGTTGATACTCATGGTACTGAAGAACGGGGGAATAATGCCCCTGGATCCTGCTAGAGCTGACCCAGGAAGGATGACAACCCAGGAACTCCAAGGCATTCTGCAGGGAATAACTTCTCTGACTCAGTTTGACAGTGCACATGCTCCTCTGCACCTAGGAGCTCATTTCTCTCTTAACTGGGCTAATCAGCAGGTGGAACATTGCCACTGCAGATGCTGCAGCCCTGCTGGTGGAACTTTTTCTCCCTAGAGGCCAAGAGGAGCATGAGCAGAGAGCACAGCAGAGGATGAGAACAGCTTGCTCCTCAATCAGATCAACTGAACAGGGTACTGAGATATCTCCAATGCCCTTGAGGAAGCAAGACCCAGTCAGAGAGATCATTACAGCGCTGGTATGACCTTAGCTGTCCAGTACAGACCCCAGCTGACATACCCTAGACTGCCTATTCCCTGTGGTCTCATATTTAACACTCATGGTCATTTTTTACAGATGGCAGGCACCAAGCAAGTTGCAGACACCCCTGATATTTGTCTCCCAGCAGATGGCTTTGCTCTCTGTACTGTTATCCTGCTCTCCATTCCCAGGATACCTCTCTCCACAGCATTTCAGCTCACCCCACACACCCCTGTCCCTTGCCCTGAAGCTGACCAAGGATTCATCACCTGCACGTAGTCATCCATGATACCAGGCTGGCTCTTATCGTGCTGGGCAGAAGTGGGAGGTGAAGGGACAAATAGAAGGAGATTCACTGGTGGGATCCTGCTTCAGGCGCAGTGCTGCCCTGCCCCAGGCCGCTACAGCTTACTCAAACTGAGGTAATCCGTGAGGGGATAGTGCCAGCAGGAGCAGAGTTAGTCAGGGAGAGCAGGGCTCTGCACGACGGGGTTGCCGGGGTGGCACTGTCCCCATTGTTGGGCAACAGAGCGGAACCCTCCTGGCCAGCAGGGACCCACCCACTCCATGGGCTCCCCATGGGCCACTCTCCTCCTGCTCTTGTTTGACTTATAGACAGAATCAGGTCATTCTTGTAGGAAGCAATTCGTGGTGGTTTTTGAGGCACCCTGCTAGCTTTGATCTGTGAAAAGCCCTAAAAAATGTCCCCTGTCCACAAATATTTAACAGGGAGTGAAATGGAGGCACAGGGGTAGCTCAGGTCATAGAATCATAGAATGTTAAGGATTGGAAGAGACCTTAAAGATCACCTAATCCCAACCGCCCTAGCCATGGGCAGAGACACCCCCCACTAGACCAGGTTCCTCAAGGCCTTATCCAGCCTGGCCTTGAACACTGGCAGGACTGGGACATCCAGAATCTCCCTGAGCAACCCATTCCACTACATTACCACCCTCACAGTAAAGTATTTCTTTTAAACTAAATTTCCCCTCTTTCAGTTTATACCCGTAATCCTTGTCCTATCAGTACAGTTCCTGACAAAAGGCTCCCTCACCAGCTTTCCTGTAGGCCCCTTCAGATACTGGAAGGTTTCTATGAGATCTCCACACAACCTTCTCCAGGCTGAACAGTCCCAGCTTTCTCAGCCTTTCTTCATAGGGGAGGTGCTCCACTCCTCTTATCAATAGGACTTGTTCTAACAGTTTCATTTCCTCTTTATGTTTAGGGCACCAGAACTGTGTGCAGTAAAGGTCCAACAAGGTACCCATGGGATTTCCCACAAGGTCCTGCCAGCTCCCCATTTGCCATCATCCCTCATTTCCATGAGCATCTTTTTCTCCTGGCCTGCTCAGGGCCATGCTCTAGGTGAGGGAACAACCTGTCCTAGGACCTCACCTTGGGAATCTCCAGAGCCCGACAGAGAGCAGCAGGCCCTGTGGGTGCAAATGCTGTCACTGAGCTTTGAGTTGCCTGCTCAGGCCTGCTTTCAATCCACAGATAAAGAGAAAGCTGGGGAAACCACAGGGCTCACAGGACATCACCACCCAGCAGATAAGAGGAGACAGGCTTTCTCCTAAAGGAGCACAAACACTCACACTCTGAAAGCAGGGATTAAAGGGGAAAGGCTGCAGGCTGAGGGAGGAGATATCGGATCAAGTGAATGAGGTCTTGAAGTTGCAGAGAGTGGTGGAGCCAGCACACTGATATGAACATTACCCTGCCTCTGGCTGTACAACAGAGACAGCACAGCGTGGCTCTGTCCCACCCTCAGGATGCAAGGAGTTCGGCCTTACAGACGGTGCCACACACAAACCCCTTGTACTTCATTTCACGCTGTCTCCTCTGCCTCATCCCCTCCAGGCACTCCAGTCCAGGATGGTCTGCAGCACGAGAAAGGCACAACCTTGCGCTGACAGTCACAAAGAGTAAAACCAGAGCAGGGCCTGATGACAGGCTCACAGCAGGCTCACAGCCCTGCCTGCTCCCTCTGCTGCTGAGCAAGCAGAGCAAGGCTCAACCAGGAGTACTTCACACAGTCCTGCACAGCCACCAGGTGTTTAAAGGTGTACTGCATCCATACGTTCCACTCACATAAGCTACACTTTCAAGCCCTTCAGGAGATGATGGTAAACCCATAGGCACACCATAGAATCACAGAATTTTGGGGGTTGAAGAGACCTTAATGATTATCCTGTTTCAACCCCCCTGCCATGGGCAGGGACACCTTCTACTAGTCCAGGTTGCTCAAGGCCTCATCCAACCTGGCCTTGAACGCTTCCAGAGATGGGGTATCCACAGCTTCTCTGGGCAACCTGTGCCAGTGCCTCACTACCCCCACAGAATTTCTTCTATTATCTAATCCAAACCTGCACTCGTGCAATTTAAAGCCATTCCACTTGTCCTATCAGGCCCTATAGGCCCTTGTAAAAAATCCATCTGTGATGCAGACTTTTTGTGGGGTGAGGAACCAGCTGGTGACACTAAATTGTTGCACATATGTATAACCAGAGAATTACCCACCCCCAGCTCTCAGCCACACAGCCGTGTTGTCCTGTATCACACCTGCCATGGGATGTCCGAAAATGACACAGCTGCTGGCACGACTTGCACCACCAGTGCCTGCCTTGGGATTTGCCTCTCCACAGGGGAGGAAAAGGCCAGGATGGAGGCAACTGGGTTGGTTTTCTCTGCACCAGCCCACCCCAGCCCAGAGGGCCGCTGCTGGTCTGGACGTGAAGGCATCCAAAGGGAATCCCCGATAAGCTCCCACTATCACAGCTTGGAGATGCCACAGATTCCTTGGAGGCATGCACACTAATCCCCTTGGACACTGCCCAGCTGCTCCTGGAGCTCCAGGGAGCCCCACAGGCATTTCAGTGGGGGTGAAAGTTTCCTCCACCATCAGCCAGACCACGTCATTCTCACGATCCCCCAGCCATTTTTGCCTCTTGTGCTGTTTAGAGACACAGGAAAGAGGCACCAAGTGTGGATCTGGGTGGCTCCCCGATCATTCTCATCCTATCAGTTCTCATGTGTAAAGCCATTAACCCCGAGGAACTCATGGAAGCTGAAAATCCATCCACTGCTGTACCCTGAGCAAGAGTCAGTTTTCCTAGCTCATGTAGTTTTCCAGCACAAGTCCTGCATGGCACAAGTGGCAGTTTCACAAATTGTTCCAAATTAAGCAGAGCACTGACATGAAGTCTATTTCCCTAAGCACAGTCATTACTGACAGTGCAGATGTCCCTAACCCATAGCAATTATTAAATATTGTCCCTGTCTTTATTGCCTCTTTGTTTGTTTTTAGACAGACACTCAAATTATGCATCCATATCGGCCACTTCCTAGAGAAGAAGTAACTGTTGCACCCCACATTCTGAATTTTGACTTCATATGATCATCCTTGGGGTCAAATTATCAATTTATAATCTTATGAGAATGGCAGAGGGTCTGTCCCTCGCTCCCAGCACGAACCAGGTAGAGCTCTTAGGAAGCACCTCAGGGTGTATTTGCACAGGACCTGATGCAATGGGCCCCTGACTGCAACACAGCCCCCAGGCTCTGCCACAAGACATAAATCACAACAGGTCTGTGAAGCTATGGGGAGTGATTTTTGCACCTCAAATCTTCATGCATGTTCCAAACTGCAGCATTAGGCACAGCAAGTACCTGGATGGACCTCACACCTACGACATAGAATCTACTGAGTAATGCGTGGCTTTGATGCAATAACTTTGCTCAGAATAAGCTCAAACTGCTTTTCATGCACCACTGTGTGTACTGCATCTCCAGAAGTCCTTGACACAGGATGCTGTGGACGCTAAAAAGGCATCTAAAGGTGGTTAGACAAATTCATGGAGGTAAAAATCCACCAATGGCTGTTAAACGTGGACACCCCCTTATCGCGAGGGGTCCCTGAGCTGTGAATCATTGGGGGTTGTGAAATGATTCTGGGGAAATAAATTTGTTATGTTCCCACACTCTTCTCACATCACACTCATGAATCTCTTTCGTGGGTCCAAACCATCTCAGTGACCACCGCCTGGCTGACTATGCTGTCCAGTGGAATAGGATATCCACCACTTCAGTACTTAAGTCACAAGAACAGAAGCCTTTTCTAGCTGCTGTTCTTGAGTTGCTCAGTTCTGAGATGACATGAGAGTACTAAAAATATATTCGGGCTCTACTGTTCACCAGTGTGAGTCCTGAGCACCCATTCCTCCTCCCTGCCCAGTTCCCCATTTCCAGGGGTGACCAAGACACCTGGTTCACAAACAGCTTGTGGTGGCCAGAGGAGACATTTGTAACTGCACACAGCATGTTGTGTGATCTTTGCTAAAATACCTGCCCAGGCTGAGTGCTGTAAGTGCCATCAGCTTCTGGGCTATCCTGAGTCAGCCCCCTCCTCACTGCTCTGTGCAGTACAGATGGTGACCTCTCCCAGTCCCAGGACAGCTTCCTTTTCACTGCAGGTGAGGCCAGTGGTCAGAGGATAAAATAGGAGCATTCTTCATACACACAACAGGTAAAGCTATCACAACAGCTCCTCAGCTCACCAGAGCACTTACTAAAATGCCTACAACAGAGGAGCAATTCAATGGCATTTTAGATGCAGTAAAAGCTTTAGATGAGGGATGTCTATGGCACTGTGGCAGAGCCTCCCTTCTCCTTTCCCCTGGGAGCTGGAGGAAGCCACATCATATGCGTCATTTAAAAGCAGACTTGAAGCAAAAGGCACTTGAAAACTCACCATGGGGAACAATCATGCCTTGCTTAGGGCAGTAAATAACTAACTTTTTCTTGGTTCATCTCGTGTTTTATTGCCTCTGCTGTTTGCACAGTGCTTCCCAGGAGAAAGTGAGTTAACAGAGCAGAGCCTGCTCACTGCTCGCCTCCCCTGCACAAGCCGATCTTCCCTCTGTGCTTTCTCTCCTACTCAGCTCCATGAGACGACACCTGCGGATGCCACACCACCACAGTGCAGTCACACAACACTGTCAGCAAGGGCTTGAGTGAGAAAAACACTGCCAGAGCCATGGGAGCATTGCAAGATCCCCTGCCAGACTCCCTCCTCTGTGTTTTGGGTG